CAACGCCCGGACAGACTTCCACATCAACACCACACCCGAGTTCTTCTACCAGTATCGAGGCTCAATGCTCCTCAAAACCGTCGATACCTCTACCACACCTCCCACGTTCCAAGACATTCCCATCCACGAAGGTTCGATCTTCCTACTGCCCGCGAACACACCCCACTGTCCCGTGCGCTTTAAAGATACCGTAGGTGTCGTTATGGAACAGCCACGCGCTGAGGGTGCAATGGATAGTATGAGGTGGTATTGCAGGAATTGCAAGGAGATTGTCTGGGCGAAGCAGTTTGTGTGTACAGACCTTGGGACGCAAGTCAAGGATGTTGTTGAGGAATTCGCGGCCGATGAGGAGAAGCGCAAGTGTAAGCGCTGCGGAGAGACTGCAGCAACGAGGTATCAGGATGGGGAGATTATTCAGCCGTGAATAGTGAACTTGTGAGGGCGTTGGGGTGTGATATCTTCTTGGTTCGATTTGGGGTCATGAAAGGTGTGTTACGAGCGACGAATTCAACATTCTTTGATGACCGGTTATGAAAATAGAGTATGGTGCAACATTCGACAAATTAGATATGATTATACAGAGGAAGAATGGACATAAAGAACGACATTTTAGTATGCCCAGATATTTATTGCAGCCTCGTCCTCGCCATTATCCCAGCTATCCGAGAGCAACGTCATAGCATCGACCACAACCACACAGCTCCCAAGAAGCCCTAGCCAAAAACACCATTTATTAACGGGGGCTGAAACCGAGCCAACCCAACAATCATGTACTAGAACGAAACCCCATAGATGCATGCAGCAGCGTCATGCTAAGCTGCGATTTCTCGTGGTGCATTGATCCTGAACCCATACCACTCGTCTCATATCCACACAGAACATTATTCATCAAATGGACAGTCGATGCTCTCATGGCCATCTCGCTCGCACAGCGCACACCACTTCGACTCGTCAATGACACCAGTGGACTTGCCAGCAATTGGGTCCATGGAGCTGCCCAGTCCGCCGATACCCTTGAGTCCTTCTAGGACGACATCCCGTCCTGTCTTCTGTGAAGGGACGGCATCTGCATAGGTGTCCGAGTTGTGGTCGGGAGAGGGCTCCTCGGCCTTGACCGGTTTCTTGGCCTGCTCGTTGTTCTGTCCGGAGCCGAACATGCTGGTACAGTTTAGGATGTCGTGGCCGCCTGTTTCGCAGATTTCACACCACATCGTGTCCTCGTCGGAGCCACGTTCGGATTCATGCATTGTCTCGAGTCGTTGTTCGGATGAGTTGGAGGCTCCCCGGTGGTGGCGAGGCTCGGAGGGTGCATCGTGCCAGTCAGTCGGGACAACGGTGCGGTCAGAGAGACGGTGGGCTTGGTTCAGGCTGTTTGAGTTGTTGGAGATGTTGCTCGAGGAGTGGGAGGGTCTGTGATGCTTGGGCGAAAGGGTGACAGTAGAGCTGCGGTTACGACCACCCCGAGAGTCCAGTTGCATTTCTTGCAATTCACGCTCAAGCTCCTCAATGCGGTTATCCTTCCGGCTAACGGTCTCTTCGACCTCTTGGATTCGCTGCTCTAGCTCAGAGAGATGCTCCGAGTTATGATCATCGGCCGAGCCGTTCTGTCCCAAGCTTGCTGCATTTGGGTTCCCACGGCTGAGAGAATGAATGATAGCTTTGAGACCGCGAATCTCATCATCCTTCTGGTCCAACTCGCTGCTGTTTCGTGGACTGTCTGATGTAGACTGTGCATCTTTCAACGCCGCAGCTGAATGATCACGCTCCTTTTTCAGCTCCAGCTTGGTTCTCTCGACTTCACCACGGAGGAACTCGACCTCGGCTCTAGCCTCGGCCTCGCCCCGCCGGGCATCTTCAAGGCCCTCTTCCAACTCGGAGACCAGCTCTTCCAGCTGCTTAAGCTGCTGCGCAACAATCTCGACATCTTCGCCACGGTCTTGGAAATGTTGGTTCTGCTGCATAAGCTCATCGAGACGCTGCTCGTAGACTCGCTCGGTCTCGGATGCGGCAATCTCCAATGTATCAAGGGTGCTTCTGAAGTCAGCTCTGTGGCCGTCAAATTCAGCGGTCAATTGGGCAATTCGCTCGTTGCGCTCGCGCAGCTGTGTACGGATCGAATGGCCGTCCGATCCCTCGAGTTCCTCCAATGTCTTTTGGAACTCGTTCAAAGTTCCAGATTGCTCATCCAACTGCTTATCTCGGTCCAAAAGCTGTTTCTCTAGGCTCTTGATCTGATCCTTCAAATCTTGAAGTTCTGACGAGTGAGCCTGTTGCCGGAAGTCGGATGACCTCCCGTATGACGAAGCGTCGTCCTCCGTGCTGATTCGCGATGAAGGCCTATCAGACAGGCGGGACGGCGCCTTGACCGGGCTGCGCATGCCATTGATTCCGCCAGCCTTGGATGCCGCCGAAGGTGTACGCAAGCCGCTTAGGCTCAATTTAGGAGGGGGAACGCGGGGAGACTCCGGACGAGGGAGGGACGGTCGTCGGACGCGAGGACGAGGCGTGGTAAGTGCTGGGCCGACAGATTTGCTGAAATTGACTGGTGCTGCGCGTGCAGGAGTGGTCGGTGTAGAATAGTTCGAGGACGACCGTCTGGTCACGTATTTGTTATTGTTCATGGGGACGAAGATGCCCGAGCCTGGAGTCGAAGTCACAAAGTACTTGCGGCCGTCCACATCGCCACTGTTCTTGCCTCGCTGGGCATGTTCCGCACTCAGTTCGACTCCGGCGAAGCGACCTGGCTTCCCCGCTACCGATCCCAGGTATTTGATCGTCCCATGCATGCCACCGGGGACATTGACCACGTCACCGACTTGGACATCATCGAGAGGCATCGTGAGGGATACTAATGGATATAGATATGAGAGTAAAGGTGGGATATCCCGTTTAAAGAGAGATGGTACAGCCCCTGGAAGGGTCAAGGGCCAAGGGTTGGGAGAGCAAGGATATTAAGTTGACTGCCCAAACTCCCATGGCCAACGGGAGACAAATAAGAAAAGGCAAAGGAGAGACGATATGTACAGAAGTCCAAAGAGTACGGAGCAGTAGTAACAGTAGTAAGAAAGGGGGACAACAAATAAATGCAGGACGAACTCCACTTGTAATTCCAACCATTGACACCTCAAACCTCCACCATCTTCCCTTTGCATATACATCCTTACCTCTTCGCATTTGATATACATCTCCTCTCTCGACGATCCTCCTTTCTATTCCCTACGCGCGCCATCCCCGGACGCCACCGGGTCCGCACAGCATCGCAGATCGCATTGACGTACATCTTTACCATGGCGCAATACTTCTTCGACCTCCTCTACAATTTCACAGACTGCATGTGCTGTTTCCCCAGCAGTCCGCAGCTCAAGATCAACAACCGAAGCTTCAAGCTCTTGCGCCTGCTCGGTGAGGTACGGATCCCGACGGTTAGCTGGCCTGAAGCCTGACTGACGCAATACAGGGCGGTTTCTCCTATGTCTACCTCGTCCAGGATAAGAACAGCAGCGAATTATTCGCGCTGAAGAAGATTCGCTGTCCCTTTGGCCAGGAATCTGTGTCGCAAGCGCTGAAGGAAGTCGAAGCTTACAACCTGTTCACATCGCAACCCAACATCATCCACTCAATCGACCACTGCGTATCCACCGAATCCGGCTCGAAATTCCGATCCGACGGCGGAGACGCAGGCTCCAAGACTGTCTATATTCTGCTTCCATACTACCAGCGCGGTAATCTCCAGGATGCCATCAATGCCAACCTTGTCAACCACACCAAGTTCCCGGAGAAGCGGTTGATGGTCTTGATACTCGGTGTCGCCAATGCGCTTCGCTCGATGCACCAGTACCGGGTGAAGAGTGGTGCGGCGTCTACACGGAAGGCCAAGGCGGTGCGGAGGGAAGGCGAGGAGGCAGATGCGGAACGGACAATGCAGATGAAGCCAAAACGGCGGGCTAGCCATCGCATGGCCCAGGATGAAGAAGACGAGGAGAACGAGCCTTTGATGGATGACGAGGTGACCCAAAGCCAAGAAGGTGTTCAAGATGGCGATCTGCGCCCATATGCGCACCGCGATGTCAAGCCTGGTGAGTTGTCTGACAGTATCGCGCAAGTCTTAGATTGCAGCTAATTGGTACAGGCAACATCATGATCGACGACAATGGCCAAAGCCCCATCCTTATGGACCTGGGATCTCTGGCCCCCAGCCCGATCGCCATCACATCCCGGTCACTCGCCTTAGCAGTGCAGGATACCGCCGCAGAACACAGCACCATGCCATATCGCGCGCCGGAACTCTTCGATGTCAAGACAGGGTCAATCATCGATACCAAAGTCGACATCTGGTCGCTGGGCTGTACCTTGTATGCCTGTCTAGTTGGTAAGAGCCCATTCGAGGCACGCAGCGAAGAAACTGGCGGTAGCTTGAGCATGTGTGTTCTCGGTGGTGACTGGCGATTCCCCGACGAGAAGTCCGGTGCTTCCAAGGGCAAAGCCAAGTCTGGTGAGAGCGAGGACGCATCCAAGAGTGATGGCCCTGCAATCAGTGCACCCGTCAAGAATATCGTTCGCAAGTGTCTGACTGTCGAGCCCTCGGAACGACCAGATATCGACGAGCTCATTGAGCTCATGCAGGGTGTCATTGACCAGATGCCCGAAGATGACATCGCAGGTCCATCTCATTAGCTTCTCTGTCTTTTTCATTTTCTTTTGACCGGCAGGCCCGTATTGCGTTTGTGCTTTCCCTTGTACAGTATAAATGCGATTTTGGTATACCTTCAGGGCTGGCAGGGTTAACCTGTTCACTGTTCAATTATCCTGTTGTTGTTATGAAACTGCCTTTTATTTTCCTATCTTCTCGGTCATTCCTAATAGCTCTACTGTGGAATTCCATGCATTTTCGTGTCCTCGTTGAATTCTATATGGCTTCATTATGACGAAACCCTTGGGGCAACCCAATGTCTCGAGAACAGACATCTCATATCTCATACCAAACCTATAAAATCAACAAAATGAGCGAAAGCCACCGATTCAGCGACCAGACGCACGGGGTAGGCGTAGCAGCCATGTTCCCAGACCAAGTGAAGCAAAAAACATGTACTCACCCCATCCTCATCAATATCCACCACAACCACCTAACACCAACACCAATACTTAATAGTTCTCCTAGCAGGCCTCAAAAAAGGCGATTTAGCCGCAACAACAGCCGACGCCCTCGCCTACGGCGGCGCAGGAAAAATCATATTCATAGGCCTCTCCCAGCGAGAACTCCAACCAGTAATCGACCACCTCAACCGCAAACACCGCAATGTGAAGATGCTTTTCGTCCCCACCGATACGGCCAGCCTATCTTCAGTCCGTGATGCAGCGAATACTATTAAGAAGATGGGCGTGTCTATCGACGGCTTCGTTGGGTTTCCGACGGTTATGGCTGTGCCCTGGGAGCTAACAGAAGATGGAAATGAATCCCATTTCCAGCAGAACTACCTCGCCTATTTCCTTTTAATTCGACTGTTGTTAGATTGTATGTCGCCGACTTCTAGGGTTGTTCTTGTTACGGCGAGTTTGCGGACAGAGGCGTCTGCGCCGACGTGGGAGGATGTAGGGTTTGCTGTGGGTTTGTTTCTTTTGATATATTGCTGAGAGACGAGTGCTGATTCTAGATATACTTGTCTAGGGTGGTGAGACGTATCATTGTCTCGACGGGTTTGCACAATCTATGCTGGCGAATATCCAGTTCGTCAAGTCTCTTGCGAAAATAGGCAAGGATCGATCCATATCTGCGTTTTCTGCAAACCCAGGAAGTGAGTATATCATAATCATAATCAATGCTATCATTAGCAGATTCTAATCTCTCAATGCAGACACAAAAGCCAACGTCCAGACATACGTCGCATGGGAGGAGATATCCTCCTGGTTGCAACGGCGAAAAGAAGGTAAGTTTGCACCGATAACGGCGACAGGAACCAATCTCACCACAGATCATTATCACAGCGGGTGAAGACCTTCCAATCCTATTGCAACAAGCGCCGAAATCTCTCGCTCAGGGTAGTGCCACTGTACTGCGTGGATTGCTAGACCCAGACTTGGAAGGTAAGCCACATAACATCACAATAATCAGACCCTGTGCCAGATATGACTTACTCGATATATGAATCGCAGAATCGTCTGGCGCCTTTCTAGATCATTGCCAAGCCGTCACTTTACCGTATCTTGACTTTCCGGCGGGCGAGGAGAGTGCAGAGGCGTTGTGGCGCCGTAGCCAAGAGTTGGTCGAGGCGTTTCTTGGCTAAAATGGTTAAACGGAATTATAGTCCTTAACAGGAAAGCAATGTATCGTATCGGGGATCTCTCAGGGATATTTGTGTTGGGGTCACTCCATATAAGCCTTAAGTTCATAGGCTTAATTGCCTTCCGAGCCGATAAGAGCGGACTAAACCCCGAATACTCCGCATCCGCTTGGACCTCGTGTTGATGGGGATAATGGCGAATATTCGACAGCTTGGATTACCAGTAACTAGCGAGTGGCAAGACATAGAACTACTTGTATTGGTGAATGGCTGCTTACCAGTGAAGATCTTTGACTTTATTTCCTAGTCCTATCAATACTAAATTTAGCCGAACCGTCTCTCAGTCTTCTGAAATATCGAGCTTATATAGATATCACTATCGTCGCAATTATTGTGTCATAGATCCTGCATCTTGGAGTTATCAACGATAAGGCCTAACTCGCATAAGGATGTAAACTCGGATGTTGTCTGAAATCGACTTAGCTGGTGATAGTGTTGGGCAATCAAATATTGTCAAAAGTTTGAGATAGTTTGAACAGAGGCAGTGTATGATAGTAAATAAAGAAGATGGAGGGAGGAACAATTGGTCTTTGCACTGAAAAGTCACTATTCAAAGCAAACATAGAATTCTCCAATATAGGCTGGTTGACTCGCCGGTGTTCAATTGAACCATCCCACTGGCTTCATAGTTCAAGATAAGCCAGTAGTATTATCAGGTCTCAAATTGCCGACTTGTATTGCTGTGCAGGTCTTCGGGGGTTGCTCCATATCACAGTAATAGGTCTACATGGAATACATGTAATTGATAAGAGCAAGCTAACCCCAAAGCTACTCCGCATCCGCTTAGGCCTCCAAGCAGTAAATCGATACTTGTAATGGAGACAACGCTAGTGAAGGAATGTAGTCTTGCGGAAAACGGCAGTTGATAGCGGTGGAGACTTATCTCTACCTATGAAGTCTCTAGAGTCAGCGGATATCTTCCGACTTCTCCTCAGATACTCAGATATACCTGCCTCGGCTGATAAAGATATATGTTATCTTCCAGGATTGTCTCTGGTTATACACCCCCTTCATTCCGAGCCCCTCAAACTACCCCAACGGAAGTGTGTCTTTGCTTTTTCTCCCATTTTTTGTGACATCAAGCTCTGCCATCCACCCCTCTTCTGCATATGCACTCTCTTTAGGGAATCTCAATTTACTCCAAGAGAAGCTTGCCTCACCAACCATGGCACCAGTATATGACAACACAGCCATACCAGGCACACTCACCCTGGTGGATGTGAACCATGTCCTAGAAGCCAGACACTTAGATCGCGGGGACCGAGACATTGTCCTAGTTCCGACACCTTCAAATGACCCAGACGATCCTCTCAATTGGAGTCCGAGACGGAAGCTTCTATCTACTGCCTGTGTGAGCATGTAAGGGAACATACTGCAGGCCGCACCGTTGCTATAAGTACTAATTATTCGCATAGCTATACATTGTTCTCCGGTATTGCTTGCTCGGTCGTTTATTCAGTCCTTGGTCCTCTCCATGAAGCAACAGGGTTACCTGTTAGTACCTTGAATGAGGGAACAGGGTATATGTTCTTGTTGGCCGGTTGGGGGTTGTTATTCTGGCAACCTTTTGCTATGCAGTACGGCAAGCGGCCGACATATATCTTGTCCCTGATAGGTATTCTGGTAGGTGGTCTGATTGGGTATGTGTGGATCTGTGCTAACCAATTCACTATAGGGAGTGACAATGTGGGGGTAAGAAGAATGAACGGCAACATTATGAAGTTTCGGCTGCTAACAACATTTTAGTCCCTATGCAGGCACCAATGGCCAGTGGATCGCACGAAATGTCATCTCCGGATTCTTCACAGCACCCGTTGAAGCCCTCCCCGAAATCTCAGTTACAGACGTGGTTAGTACCTTCTGCCGTTGATGGTTGCAATTCTACTCACATGTGTTAGTATTTCACCCACGAACGTGGAATGTACATGGGGTTGTACGCCTTCTTCCTAGCAGGAAGTAACTATTTCGCACCAGTTATCTGCGGCTTCATCGCCCAGTACCAAGGCTGGAGATGGGTATTCTACTGGCCGAGCATCTTCGTCGGCTGCGCAGCCACCTTCCTCTTTTTCTTCTGTGAAGAGACAAACTATGTGCGAGAGCATGTTGAGGAACCTAGTGCAATCGTGCGGACTGGATCGTCAACGCAAAGTGCGAACAGCGCTGAAGATACTGAGAAAACTTCTCCTGTTGTTAACTCGACGCCCGAAGCGGAGGCTGGTGTGATGCACACTAAGAAGTCGTATGCGAAGAAGTTGTCACTTCTGGGCCCACGCCAAGAGCAGAATACTATGCTCCGTCGGTTCTGGCCGATTCTGTATTATCTGTCGTGGCCGGTTATTTTCTACGCCGGGTATGGATCTCGGTTCCTTTTGGTTTTATGCCAAAGCTAACATGCAGCAGATTCTCCTATGGTTCTTACCTGGTTCTTTTCAACATCCTAAATGGAACTGCTTCAATCATTCTTGGTGGTGCTCCATATAATTTTGGGTGAGTGTCCTATACCATGTATGCCATAACGTCAGACTAACTTTGACTAGATCTTCCATGGTAGGCCTCAGCTACCTAGCATGCTGTCTTGGGGTGATCCTTGGGTAAATATCTCCCATATTTCTTAGCTTAAAATAAGTGCTAACTAGTATAGATCCATCTTCACCGGCCGCTTCAGCGACTGGCTCACTATCAAACTCGCTCGCCGCAACAACGGAGTCATGGAAGCAGAGCACCGCTTATGGCCATTCCTCGCCTGTCTGGTGCTTGTTCCTGCATCCTTAATTCTATGGGGCGTCGGCGCTGCCCACGATATCCACTGGTTCGGATTGATTGTGGCCATGTGCATGCTTGCCTTCACCAATACCTGCGGTATTACTCTTAGCGTCAACTATTTCATTGACAGCTATCGAGAGCTGAGTGGTGTTGCTATGGCGAGTGTCATCTTGGTTCGCAATACCATGTCATTTGCCATTGGCTATGGGTAAGTTTGTTTCTTTTCAATAGAAGACCAAAACTGACTTGTTTTAGCATTACACCCTGGATCGATAATATGGGCTACCAGAACTGCTTCATCTCTGCCGCTTTCATTGGCATGGCATGTGCCGCAGTGTTCCTATTCATGATCAAGTTCGGCAAGACATTTCGCGAACGCACACGCGAGAAGTACTGGAAACTTGTCCAGGAGAATTGGGAGCATGGAATGGGCCATTAACGCGGAAATGAACTATCTACATGAACGACATGACCATAGCTATACAGACAGTCTCTATCAATTTCAACGGAAACACCATCTAACATTCCTCAATTCCAATTCCCACGCTCTACTATAATAATCACTGCGCAAGATGAATGTCCCCCTCCTCATCGTAGACAATCTCCCTAACCTTAACAGACCTCAAATGATCAACTCCCTCAGACAACTCACAATCATGATAAAACAAATACCACTTCCCCTGAAACTCAACAATAGAATGATGCGTCGTCCAACCAAGCACGGGATCAAGAATCTTCCCCCGATACGTAAAAGGCCCCCAAGGCGACTTCCCAGTCGCATAAACCAGGAAATGCGTATCACCCGTCGAATACGAGAAATAGTACGTCCCATTATAGCGATGCATCCACGCAGCCTCAAAGAAGCGCCGTTCATGATCATCAGCAAGAATAGGCATTCCCGTCTCGGGAGCCAGAATCTGTAGTTCACGCACCGGCGTCGCAAGACTCAACATATCATCTGATAACTGCGCAACGCGCGGACAGAGAGCGAGAACACCTTCACCAGATGGTTCTTGTGGACCTGATTTCGAAGCATCGAAGACGAGCTTCTTCTCCCCACACACAGAGTCATTTCCATTTCCCTCTTCTTCAACCCAGCATTGTAACTGTCCACCCCAAATCCCACCGATATACAAATACGCTTCACCGCCAGCTTCCTCATCGACAAAAACAGCCGGGTCGATACTATAACTCCCCTCAAGGAAATTACTCTGCGGCACGAAAGGTCCTTCAGGTTTATCAGATACAGCCACACCAATCCTGAAAATGCCTTCGTGGTCCCGAGCCGGGAAGAAGAGATAGAATTTCCCGTTCTTGGCTGCTGCGTCGGGCGCCCAGAGCTGTTTCGAGACCCAGGGAATGTCTTTGTCGCGGAGCACGACGCCGTGGTCTGTTACTGGGCCGTTGATTTCGGACATTGAGAGGACGTGGTAGTCGGCCATGTCGTATTGGTCGCCATTGTCGTTGAAGGCGATGTCTGTTTCGCGGTCGTGGGAGGGGTAGATGTAGAGTTTGTTGTTGAAGACGTGGGCTGAGGGGTCTGCCGTGTAGATGTGTGAGACGAGTGGTTTGGACATTTTTATGTCGTTGGTGTAGTGTAGTCTGATGTGGTGGTGGGATTGTATAGTTAGGGCTGGATCTGGGTAGTAAAGATATAATGAAATATTAATTACCCCGGAGGACAACACTAGATACAGACTATATAGCCTCAGATATAGCCTCAAATATAGTAAATATAGGCTACAACTCATCTATCCCGCTAATCATCTTTAACCGCCGGCTAAAAGAAACAAAGCGGCGCATGCTCCGTCTTGGCCAGGGTGATAGTCTTGGATATTCAACATTCGATATGCAATAACTTGTGCAATTCCTAGAAATACAAATCTATTTACAATACACCCCAGGATGTACAAATAACCCTCACTTCAAATTCCAAAGATGACCCTGACTCTCATACTCCCTCTCAAGCCCTTCCTGCCACTCCCTCTCCATCCGATCAAGCATCTCCCTTTCCGACTCCTCCATCTCCATCGCCACGTCCCCAGAGTCCCCATTCCCATTCCCATTCCCATCCCCAACTATCGCAACCTCATCAGCATCCATCTCATCCAACTCCTCAAACCCCTCCCGAACAGGCGACTCACAACCCCGTAGTCCAATAAATCTCCCAAACCTCCTCCTTCTCGTCTCAAGATCAACGTCCCTCTCCCCGGGTGTACCCAGCCAAGGTCTAATAGGAACAGGATAATCACCGGAGTGAGGGAGAGGAGGCCAGACCTGGTGGAAGTGGCGGGCGAGGTTGTCGACTTGCTCCATTGTGAGGAGGTTGTAGGCTAGGAGGGTCGTGGGGAAGTCTGGGTGGGTTTTGTCGGTTGTTACTGAGACTAAGGGTTTGAGGCGCTGTTGGAGGTGGTGGATTAGGGGGTGGAAGTTTGGGTGGACTTGGTTTGATTGGGGTTGGGGGGTTGTTGTTGAGAGGAGGTCTGCGATGTTTTGGGGGAGGAAGTTTGTTGGTGAGGATGGGGAGATGGGGCTTGTTGTTGAGTTGCGTCGTTCCATTGTTTGTTTGAGGATTTGGATGTTGGCGCTGGATGTGGTGTGATGTGTATGTAGTTCAGATGGATGTGACCTAATCTCAAGTTGACAACGTTGGTGATGCTAATTCTTGTACAGTATATAGATGAGTCTGAAGGAAAGAGAATCTACTCGAGGGGAACAGCGCTTATATACGTGAAAGACAGAAGAGAAGCATGCGATTGTCCGAACAAACAGAGATGCTTAACAATAAGATGAAACGCTTTGAAACAATTTCTCTTTGAGTGACAAAGACATCGTTCTCTTGAATCCCAATAGAACCGACTTTCAATCAGAGCTCCGTTTGGCGCTGTGCTTTGTTGCTAAGAAAAGAATAATCCCATCCATGTCCCTATAGCATCTATTATATACGCTTCATGCCCAATAATAATAAATAACGTTAAAGAAGTGTCTTATCAGATAGACATATTGGCCACCCCGAGTGAAAGATCCGGCTCCTCTGACAAGGCGGGAAGACCCACGTACTTGTTGATCCAGTTCAACACGGTCCGGTGCCAGAGGAGCGAGTTCTCGGGATTCAGAACCCAGTGGTTCTCATCGGGGAATGTCAGGAATGCGCTCTCGACGCCACGCATTTGGAGTACGTTAAACGCAGCCAGACCCTCGGCAATGGTCAGGCGGTAATCGAGCTCGTTGTGGATGATCAAATGAGGCGTCTGCCAGTTTTCAGTGAAGCGCGACGGATCCCACTTCGCCCAGTTCTCGGGGACCTTCCAGATGGGACCCTTCAGGTCATGTAGAGGGAAGTATTGCTCCTCGCTGGCTAGTTGGGATGTCATGCTGAACACACCGTCGTGGGTTACGAGCGCCTTGAATTTGCGGCCTAGTGGGTGACCCTGGATCCAGTTCATCATGTAGCCACCATACGAGGCACCTAGAGCGACTGCGCGAGAGGTGTCGACGTAATCAAGATGCTGTTCGATGTGCTCGAAGCCCTTCACTAGATCCTCGTAGGGTCGACCACCCCACTGGCCTTTAATGCCATCAGTGAAGGGCTGACCGTATCCTGTGCTGCCAGTCGGATTGGGTGTGATCACGACGTAACCCTGTTCTGCGAAAACAGCGGGATTCCAGCGGGTGCTCCACTGGTCGTTCCAAGCGCCTTGGGGTCCACCGTGAATCAGATAGGCGAGCGGATATTTCTCCCCGGGTTTAAAGTTGGAGGGCTTTACAACAAATGCGTGAACGGGGTGGTCTTCAGCTCCTCTGAACCAGATTTCATCGACCTGAGCTGGACTCAGACCAAATGCAGCACCACCTCGGCCGTTTGATGACACCACTTGGATATCGTCTGGGCAGGCTGGATCAATGATCGTCCACAGGCTGTTATCAACCAAGCTGCTGCTAGACAAAAACAGCTTGGAAGAGTTGGCAGCTGCGGGAACAGCGTCATTCACGAATCCAGAGCGGGTCAGCCTCTTCAGTGAGTCTGGCTTGACCTTTTGCGCATTGTCCAAAGGAAGCTGGTAAAGGACACCGCGGCCGATCTCCTCGGCAACAAGGATCAACGACTTGTCATCCTGGGAGAACGACAAGGCCGAAGGACTAAGATTCCAAAGGCCTTCGCCATTGGCCGACTCGAAGATCTCAATCATGTTTCCGTCCCACGGGTTAGGGACATACAGAATCCGATTCTTATCAGACTCGTAGCCATCCTCACGCATAGCCAGAAGCGCAATGGAGCTACCATCGGAGTTAAGGACGGGGGACGACATCGCTCCCTGAAGACCGGTGACTTTGCAGATCTTCGCATCAGGCACGCTCATGCTAGTCCACGAGAACATGGGAGCATAATAGCATGAGCAAGAGGTATGAGTAGCTGGGTTGAGATCCGGATCCTTGGCAATAAACACAATTGCCGACGGGCTGATATCGAAGTCACCAGTACCACCAAACGGCGGGATAGGCGACTCAACACCCGCCAATCCAGACACCTGAATCAAGTTTGTAAGGCCCGAGACAGAGTACTTGCCAGCTTGTCTGCGGGCTGGCGACAGAGGCGCCCGCTCCAGAACACCATACCAAATGGAGTTCTTCTGGGGCTCGACATACGAATCCCAGTGTCGGACAAAGAGGGATGTGTATAGCTTGCCGGTTGTGTATGGCTTCTTCGCATCGTGGGGGTTGTATAGCGATCCATCGGGGTTGGCTTTGCCTGTCACAGCGAAGCCGACCTTGCCGGGCTCGATGAGGGTCAATTTCAGGTCTGAGACTGGACCTGGCAACGTGCCTGCGGTGTATGTGTTGTCGGCCTGACGAGCATCGCCAATGATGAAGCTCGTGTTCCCGTTCGCTTTGGACTTGAGCCAGACTAGTTGGTCGCTAGTGTCTAGCCACTGCGGGTTGCTGGCGCCGGGGTCATTGGTGATGAGGGCAGATCGACCAGAACTGATTTCAATGACGCGGATCTCATTTGTCTTGGAGTGAGACTCGAAGGAGTAGGATGTCTGGGTATAGACTGCGAGGGTGCCAGCTGCGTTGGGGACGGCTGAGGACCGTCTGGGTGCACCAAGCAGAACCCTGAAGACGTTAGCATCCTTCCAATGATCAAGCGGAGTGCATAAAAGCTGATTTAGACAACCTTCCGAAGCAGATAAAATCTACTTACTCAGGAGTGAACTTCATAGAACGAATGGCCATATCAGCTCACGGTGAGGAGATCAGACAGGTAGCTTGGAGAGCTCCCAGGGTGTCAAACTAAGTTAAATTGGAATATTGAGAGGAGCGTATTGAAGTATCCACTACACAGAAGACAAGGATGATATGATTGAGACAGAAAGATGAGTTGTGATGTGATGAGAGAGTTGGAGAAGGGGAGGTTGGGGACCTGATCATGCGGGGGTTATCGGTGAGCCCTGATCGGGTTAAGCGTCATGCCCTGCATTCCTTCGAGAACAACTACTGAAGTAAAATAGAGAATAGACAATAGACAATAGAGAACACCATTGTATCCTACCCAAAACACAACTATTATTACACGCAAGCCAAAATCATTTACTCTTCTTCTTCCTCCTCGCTTTCATCCTCATCCATACCCTCCGCCGCAGTCACATTGAACGTGGGTGCCTGATCCACGCCGACGTAGCTGTCACTCATGAGGTAGAGGGTCAACTCATGGTCTCCAGGTGTGGGAACCACATACTCCAGACGCAGCTCCAGCTTTCGACCGATCGTAACACGCTTGATGGCGAGCAGGCTCTTCGTCTTCTCGTCACCAACGACCAGCCACCAGTTCTCCATCTTCTGGCTTGGATAGAAGGGTGCGTGGACAGTGGTATCGGGTTCTTCATCCTCTTCGAGGTCGCGCTCGATCTTGACTTTGAGGTACGAGGGCTCGCCCGAAGTGATGCTGTCAGGATCTTCGACTTGGAAGTCAAGCTCAATGTTGGGGTACTTCTCGTTGGTGAAAGCTGCAGCTTGCGCCAATTGCTTGTTGTCGAGACCGAGGCGCTTAACCAGTGTAGCGTAGTCCTTGTTCTCAGATGGGTCCATGGCCTCCATGAATTCAAAGATATCATTGATCCTGCACGAAGGTAGGTTAGTAAATGTTTGTAGAGAATTGCTTGTTGATACATACTTGTATTCATTGGCCACCTTGATGACCTCCGGTGTGAAGTGAGGGATCTGCTTCAGAGGGCTGTCCCGGTCCCACATGGCCTGGACCACCATCTGTGACAACTCCATGGCGTTCATGGCGTTAAGATGGCCCTCGGATGAGAGGACATCCACACATGCACTGAGCAGGTTGAGAACCTTGCGGATAATGTCTTCCTGATCCTTGGCCAGATCAAGAGGAAGCTGCATGCGCGAGAAGTGGGCCTGAAGGAGAACAAATGCCTTAAAGTGCGGTGAGTCAAAGGAGACCTCGGCCATCTTGACGGGACAACGGTCATATACGCGGCGGAGAATGTGAGCCTCATGACGCCGCATCTGAATGGATTCGAACTCGGTCGCCGAAGTGACAATCTCCAAGATACCCTTGAGCTTGGTGCGGGCTGAAAGAGACAACAGGAAGGTCTGCATCGTAATGAAGGAGATGTTGTAGTAAGCTCCAATCATAGCGGCATTCAGAGGCGAAACGCTGTCATCTTCCTCATCCAGGTCGATAATCTTGGCTTCAGACAACTCCTTTAATGTGTTCTCCACCAGCTCTGACAGGAAGGTGCTGAGACCCTCGTGGCTGACGTCACTGAGACCGTAGAAGCTGGGATTCGCAAGAAGACGGCGATAGAAATAGGTATATGTCATCCAATCAACCGCGTCTTGTGTGGAGGAGATGGTCCTTGTGCTTGCTTCGGTCACAAAGGCATCGTGCAGGTAAACCTGCAAATGACTCTCGACCGGCAAGGCCTCGTTGAGGAACTTCTTGTAGTAGTCACGCTTGACAGCGGGCACCATAAGAACACCTCGACCAAGCTTGTCCTGGCCTGGACGAGAGGCTTTGCCAAACATCTGCAAAATTTCGCTGATGGGGTAGTCGATGTAGCGATGCTCACGGCCATCAAAGAATTGAGTGTTCATAACGATGACCAGATGAGCTGTGATGTCTAATTCCCAGCACACGTCCCTAGAGGCCAACATCACTTGAATCGCACCGATGCTGAACAGGTGCGAGACAATGCGCTTGTCAGTGGCAGTAAGGGCCTCATGGTAGTAGCCAATACCGTGAGAAAGCGACGTGGCAAGGGTCTGCTCATGGACACGGCTAAGAAGGGGGGCGAGCTCTTCAACATCGGCGTTCAGGAAGCGATCCTCGTCGTCGTCGATAGCACACGCTGAAAGAAGATCCATGGCGGTCGCACGAACCTGCTTACGGCTAGGGACGAAAACCAGAGCAGGCTTATCGGGCGAAAGCTGCAGTATCGATTGATAGGCCGGACGAGCCATGGCGAGCATAAGTGAGGGGAAGTGAGGAATGGTGAAGGACTGGAGATGAAGCTCGAGAGGCACAGGACGGGCATGCGGGCTGAAGTTGTAGATGGTGTGCTTGTTGGCACCAATCCACTCTCCAATATCCCGAGCGTTAGAGAGAGGCACACTTAGACCAACAATGCGCATCTCGTTTTCGGTCTGAAGAGCAATGTAGTGCATGCGAGAAACAACCACTTCGTACACATATCCACCGTAGCCGCCGAGCATGTGGAGCTCGTCGGGGATGAACAATTGCACTGTCTGGATGTTCTTGCGGCGCTGCCACTGGCGGGACAACACATCCCATTGAGGAGGAGTTGCAAGGACAAGATCAGCCTGCTCGAGGAGTTTCAGGTCGGCTGTGGTTTCGCCTGTCAGCTTGACAATCGTCTTGCCTCCGTCCAGAGCACTAAAGCGCTTCTGCCAATCAGCAAGTCGGAGGTCGACCAGCTCTTGGAAGGGAGCGAGGTAGACTGCACGACCGCCCTCCCTGGTGGACCAGTGCCGGAGCAGGGCCAACTCGGCGCAAACGGTCTTGCCACTTCCTACAGGAGCACCGATGAAGACATTATCATCAGTGTCGAAGACTGACTTGAAGACCTGAGATTGGATCTTGTTGAAATGCTGCCAGTTGGGATACAGAGCTTGATAGTCGTCGCGCTTCAGTGCTTTGACTGGTGCACGCTGCATATCCAGCAAAGGTGTGTGGGGAGGGAAGCGCTCAGGGAGAACAAGCTTCTGGAAGGACACGGCAATCTTGGTCTCAGAATGCATCCATCGGTCGGACACCAGAGAGATGAAGTAGTTGGGTGGCATGGGCTCGGTGACTGGGACAGTGAATTCGACAAGATGTTCATTCATTTCAGATTTGGCGAATTCACCCCGAAGCAAGAAGCGATCGTGGAACAAGATCTCTTCTCCGTCACAGTCTTCAACGATGATCCAAAAGTCTTGCGCATTGCCGTGTATATCATCATCCCAAACGAAGTTGGGCGAAATGGTCAACTCAACGCGCAGCATAGACCGGGTGATGGGCTGCACTTGAGCCTGAACCTCGAGTCGGGGGAACTTGGAAACCAAGTCACACACAACACGTCCGGCCTTGGGCATACCAAGGAGCTCACCCATGCGGGGAGGGTCCAGGTCGAAATAGCTGCCCCAAGGCACATCAATCCGTTCAGCCTTCTGCAGAACGTCTCTTGGGCAGTGCGGGAATTGACGAAGGGGGGACATAGTCGGCCACATGCGCTTCTCGGCCATCTTGCAAAGATCGAGTGCAGTCTTAGCAACAGATGACCAGCCCTTCTTCAAGCATATCTCGAAGAGGGCCCGAATGATACGTCCGGCCGACTGTGTCACGTAAACCATGTCAGCCATCAGCGCAAGCCCATCGAGCTTGAGTCGGGAGATGTAAGCCTGCAGGAGGACATTGATCTTTGCATGGGGCTCGTCAATGGTTTCCTTGACGGGGACGGGTACACGGCCCAGGAGCTTTCCAAGCTCAAGCTTCTCATCCTGGCGAACGGGGATGTACTTGAATTCGTCACTCAGAGCGAAGATGCGGAACAGCTCAATGGTCGTGATAGAGGGTTGAAGGTGTTGAGCGTAGGTCAACATCGAGTTGTGACCAATGTAGTAGTGAGAGGAGATACGTCCAAGCTCAGTCGACTGGAGACGTCCGGTCTTCTTCTCATACTTGACGAGACCGGCTTTCTCAAGAACAGCAGCAGCGGAGTGGATGAGATCCACTCGCTTTTGTTCCAGTGCGTCATCATTCTGGTAGTCGGCGCCAACACTGTATAGACCAGGCGAACGAAGCATTCGGACATAAAGGTAGGTGTATCCTAGCCATTCCACACCTTCATCACGAGTACGAACATTACCAAGCACAATCTCGGCATTCAAATTATCCGCCAGCTTGCTCATCAGCTGTGACTCGATTGGTAGTTGCTGGTTCATGAGCGAGAGATAGTATTGAATCTCGGATTGCGATGTGATAATGATACCCTCACCGAATGTATCGTACTGGGGTCTACCAGCACGTCCAAGCATCTGGAGAACGTCCTGCGGACTCAACTCAACCCAACTACCCTTCTCGGGAGAGTAGACCTGAGTTCCCTTGATGATAACGGTGTGAGCGGGAAGGTTGACACCCCAAGCGAGTGTCGCGGTACAGACGAGGACCTGGATACTTCCATCGGCGAAGAGGGCCTGAACGGAATCACGATCCGCAAGACTCAAACCGGCGTGGTGAATACCGAAGCCGTACGGCATGAGGTCCTTGAGGCCAGCATCATCAACTGAATCAGCTTCCTCGGAGAGAATGGCACGACTGGCAGCGTCACTGCGCAGGATCTGTCCAATGGTTTCATTCTCAAGGGCCTTATCCCTGATGTACTTGGCTGTTTTGGCTGTTTCCTTTCGGGAGTGCACGAAGATCAGCATTTGGTTGCGACGTTGTCCGACCTGCTCCATAACCTTGGTGTAGCAAATGTCGTTCATCGTCTTCAACTGCTTAATAGCCTTCTTTTCAGTGACACCAATGAACTCCTGCTTAAGAGGGCAAGGACGATATGTGCCATCGAAGTGGAATATGCCCTTGATAGGATCGGCTCGCAGGAAGCTTCCCACATCGCGATAGTTGGGGAGAGTAGCACTGAGACCGACAATACGCACTGGGTCTCCAGTCTGCTCGACTTTGCGAATGGTTCGGCTGACGATGCTCTCAATGACGGGACCACGATCATCGTGGAGAAGATGAATCTCATCAATGATTACCAGGCGAACAAGCTTGGTGTAGCTGGTCTCAGATGCCTTTCTGGTGATAACGTCGAACTTCTCTGGGGTGGTGACAATGATCTGGGTGTCGGCAATTTGTTGCTTGGTGAGTTGACGGTCACCTGTAAGCTCGGACACACGGATACCATAAGGCTCAAGACGCTTGCCGAGGTTTCCAACCTGTTCTTGTACCAAAGCCTTCAACGGAGAGATGTACACAATCTTGAAGTCATCGAGCATGATCTCTCCGGTTTCGGGATTGCGGTTTTTCCCGATCTCTCGAAGAATTGTAAGCATGGCGACGTTGGTCTTTCCGGAACCTGTAGGAGCACAGACAAGCATGTTGCCATCATCGTGGAACGCTGAAGGGTAGCACTTTGTCTGCACCCGGTTGAGTTCCTTGGAAGTTCCAAACCCAACACGAGCCCATTCAGGCAACTCTGTGGTAGGAATATTCTTCTCTCCAGCTTCCTTCTTGGCCTTGGGGGGTGGCACATGAATTTCTTCATAACCCTTGAAGGTACGCTTAGTTGAGCCTTGGGGAAGCTTGACATTAGGGTTGGTCATAAGGTGGTTGCCTTGATGGAAGACGAGATTCTCCAAGTTGATGGTTCTCTTGGGCTGAAGAGGGCCAGTTTGTCCACCCTCGGTGGTCTTTTGGTCTGGTGTGGGGCCTGAAGGAACATCAACATCCATCAAGTCGAGCTTCATTTTCTTATCGGGACGTTCAGCGAGGTCATCGCGAGCTTCTTTGCCGCGAATTTCGTCAAGGATGGCGCGCTGTCCGGCTTCAACCATCTCAATTTCCACGAGATTGCGAGCATCGGCGTCCTCAGCGACTCGTCTCCAGCGCGTAACCCAAACGGCTTTGTCGCGGTTGGTGACCAGCTTCGCAACCAGGTCGGGGTGGTCATAGTCGAAAAGCTCCATCAGGTCGTTTTCAACGTCGCGCAAGGATCTAGGTGTTCCATCTTCGTCCTTGGCACCGAGAATTTCGAGGGCCTCGCCGGCCTTCTCGTGTTGGATGTGCGCATCTGTGTAGAGGGCACCGATCTGGCGCTGCAACCAGTAGGCGTCAATTTCGCGGGCTGAAACGTTTAATCCGGTCTTGTCGCCATCCTTATCCGTTTTACCCAGACCTCCATCAATGACCATTTCATCGCCCTCTTCGACATCCTGAGCAGCTGAAACGTCGGCTTCTGGCTGATCTTGTTCATCCGCTTCGTCTTCGTCACTGTCTTCGTCCCGGATTTCGTCCACAGTTCCTGTGCGCTCATCATCCTCGTCTTCTTCGTCGAAGACTACGGCAACACCTTGGCGTTCATCGAGTTCGCCACCCGCTTCGTCTAGGCCACCGTCCATTTCTTCATCTTCATCCTGGGCATCGTAGTCTGTAATTTTTTTGCCCACGTTCACAAGCTCGTTGAACTCCTTCGGGTTCATGGAGGTTCCCAAAAGATCGTCGATCTCCTTCTTTTTATCGAAATCCTTCATCTCTTCATCCTTGAGAAGCTCCAAGACAGCATCGGCGGCACTTCGGACGACTTCGTGAGGGACATCGCCAAGGTGGCTTCCGGTGATTGTGAGAATAAGGTCGTAGGTGGCTCGTGTAGCGGGTGTCCTAGGTCGGTATTTCAGGCCTTCGACGAAGGCATCGGCCGCTGAAAGGATTCCTTGGCCCCGTAATTGTGACGGTTGGCCGCGTTGGCGTTTTTTCTGTTCACGTAAAAGCACATCTTCACCCTCACCGATGGCACCTCGCTCGAGGTCTGTGGGGCCTGTCTTCTTTGATTTGGGTGCATTGTCACGCGCGACTCGTCCACCCATCTCTCGGATCCCAATGCGACCCGCGAGAGACTCCGGGTCTCCAGTCGGTTCGTCATGGGTGCGACTGATAAAACGACGGTCCGCCTGGAGAACCAGGTTGGACATCGCCGAGTACTTATACTGGGAGATATTTTGGTCCGCCATCTTGGTGGTTGTGTGGCTTCAGAAAAACGACAAGAGAGAAAGAAAGGTTGCGACAAATCTGCCTTGGCGCGGAGGTCGAGATTCAGGCCGCGCCGAGACACGAAAAATGTCGGCAATTAATAGAATTTCAGATGGTCTCACAAACCTGGCTCATCCTCCTTCCGCAAGTCACGGTAGTTGTGAGAAATAATAGCCAGGGTTGATGTAGATATGTGAAGCCAAGGAGAGAAGCTCGGGAAGATTTCGTGGCGAAGGCGGAAGGAGGGGAGCTTTTGTGGTTCTGCCGCTCTAGACAATTTGGAGCGCGCAACAATGCGTCTACATGGCTTGTCTATTTCTCTGACATCAGTCAGTTTGAGACCAGCTGTAACGTCAATATGTCCGACCTATCGTTGCCAAATACACCGCACCATCTGCCATCATGCGCGTCGACCCTCGATCCACCCACGCGTGTCGACCGACCCGAAAGTCCCCCTACGAGGCGCAAAGCGTAAAACAACTGTCAAATTGAAAGACCTCCCTCAAGGAGTCTTGAAGCTCGGAGCATACGATAATGGAGTGGACGAAGCTCCTCAATATCCGACTGTGGTACAAGGGCACCGAAACAATATGCAAGCATTCAAGAACTGTGTCATTTTGACCAGAGTCGGGGGCTTCTACGAGGTACGAGAATGGAGACTCATGATTTTCAGTAAAGCTGTATGCTTATAGAATGTTTTCTAGCTATATTTTGAGCAAGCAGAAGAATTGGCATCATCCCTTGGCTTAAAACTTGCAACCAAAAGGACCAACGCCGGGCCAGTTCCAATGGCTGGCTTTCCTTTTTTCCAGCTCGATCGTTTCCTGAAGATGCTTGTCCAAGATCTCAACAAGTATGTGGCTATCAGCGAGGAATTTGCTCTCAATGCAGAGGAAAAGGCGCACTCAGGTGGCCTTTTGTTTGATCGGAAGGTGGCCAGAGTCGTCACTCCTGGTACGCTGATTGATGAGAAGTTTATTGAACCCTCCGAACACAATTTCTTATTGGCCATTTACTTGGACGTTCCGGCTATGGAGTCGAAGCTAAAACAGCATGCTGATAGCGATGCCCAGTCATCCCATCAACACATATTGTCATCTATACCTCAACAGGTAGGGTTGTCGTGGCTGGATCTTTCGACCGGCGATTTCTTCACCCAGCTCACAACAACCCAAATGCTTCCATCTGCGATTGCGCGAATTGGAGCCCGTGAAATTCTCGTAGATCAGAATGTACAAGATCTCATCGGGCATGAATTACAATTGCTAGTTGGGCACGATCATCGCCTGGTCACTTTCTTTCAGTTCCCTGAGACATTCGAACCAGTGTCTGAATGGGGTACCATGCTTGAGGCTCCCGTTCCTGAGGATGATCGTGCGTCTTTCACACCGGAAGAAGTAGCAGCTGGATACAGCCTACTCAAGTACATTCGAGTGCAACTACAAGGATCGAATCTCAAGCTTCAGCCTCCTCGTCGAAGACATCTGAATGAATCAATGAGTATTGATCGTAATAGTCTGAGTGGTCTTGAGATCTTAGAAACAGCAAGAGATGGGTTTGGCAAGGGAAGCCTTCTCCATGCTGTTAAAAGAACTTCTACTAAAAGTGGCTCACGCCTTCTGCGAGACAGACTCAGTATGTATAAATCATTCTTCGGCCTTTCTTCATGTGCTAACATGCTACACAGCCTCTCCATCTACATCTTTGAAGATCATTAATGAGCGTCTGGACCTAGTCTCGGTCTTCATGGAATCTGAGGAGCTTCGTGACGGCGTGGTTCAGCTACTGAAGCGCAGCTATGATGCACAACGCTTGGTCCAAAAATTCGCCCTTGGAAAAGGAGATCCAGATGACTTGATCTGTCTATCTCGGGCTATCGAGGCTTCGAAGGAAGTCAGACAAGTCCTCTTGGACCACAGCAAAACTCCAATTTCGAACGTTGATCTCAAAAATAGCGTGAGGATTATGATCTCACGGTTGTGCCTTGATGGACCCATTGCGTTGGCTGAGAAGATTCTTGCCGCTATTGACGAAGAAGGATTGATGCAAAAGCAACGCATCGAGGACAGTACCGCTGCTGAGGCAGCCAGTTTGGCGCAAAAGGTAACCCTCGATGAAGGCACACCCAGCGAGCTCGAAAGCCTACCAAAAAAGGTCAGGTCAAAAAACAGTGATCGAACTGCGGTAACTGATACTGAATCCGGTCCTGTCGATACTTGGATTATGAGACGTAATGCAAGCAAGAACCTCAACGCTCTTCATGCGGAATTGGAACGACTGGGTGACGAAAAGGTTTCATTAACACAACTGCTCCGCGACTCGGTTGGTTCATCAGCCTTGACCCTCAAATGGACACCCGGCTTGGGCCACATATGCCACGTCAAAGGGGCCAAGATATCGCAGGAGTCCTTGGAAGACTTGGGCGTTACTCGAAATGTCTCATCCACCAAATCCACACGGTCCTTCTATCTACCAGCCTGGTCAGATCTAGGTGCTCAGATGGACCAAGTCAAGATCCGGATTCGTCAAGAAGAGCAGACAATTTTCCAGCATCTCCGCCGCGAAGTGATCTTGAATCTAGTCAAGATTCGCCGAAACGCTGCTGTCATGGATGAACTGGATGTTAGTTGTTCATTCGCAATTCTAGCTCGAGAACAACAAATGGTGCGGCCAATTCTCAATGACGGCGTCTGTCACAAGATTGTCGGAGGAAGGCATCCAACCGTCAAACTAGGTCTAGAGGAACAAGGCCGATCTTTTGTGAGCAACGACTGCTTCTTGGGTGATTCCGAGCGTATCTGGCTCATCACTGGTCCTAACATGGCCGGCAAAAGTACATTCTTACGACAAAACGCATTGATCACAATTCTCGCGCAGGTCGGGTCATTCGTACCTGCAGCTTATGCCGAGATCGGTATCGTCGATCAGATCTTCAGTCGCATTGGCGCAGCGGATGACCTCTTCCGGGACCAGTCAACGTTCATGGTCGAGATGTTGGAGACGGCCGCCATTCTCAAGCAGGCTACGCCGAAGTCATTTGTCATTATGGATGAAGTGGGTCGAGGCACGACTCCTGAGGATGGGACAGCTGTCAGCTTCGCTTGTTTGCATCATCTACACAATCAGAACCAGGCCCGCACACTTTTTGCCACCCATTTCCATGCCCTTGCGGATATGACACATGACTTCGAGGCTTTGGCAAGATACTGTACGGATGTCAAGAACACGGCTACAGGTACCTTCTCTTTCGTCCATCGTCTGCGAAAGGGTGTGAATCGCCAGTCTCATGCTTTGAAGGTCGCACAGCTGGCTGGTTTGCCTAAAGAAACACTCGAGCTGGCTACCCGAGTCCGTCAGCAGATGAGGGACGAAACACCACCTCCTCGTGTCACTGATGAAGATCAACCCACGGTGCAGGGTTCTTGAAAGCAATGTTTGAAGTTTATATGTACTTCACGGTGCTATGTATAATATCCATGTACAATATTTCGGCTTCAGATACCCAATTTTTATGAAGGTTGGCAGTCACCTTCCTCTCTTTTCAGCCAACCAGTCCATCAAGGAACACCAACAAATGCTTGGTATAGATGCAAACGAAAATCACAGCTTAGGCCACAACTTCGCCGGGCCCTTCTCAGCCCGACCAAGCTGACCCTTCCTCCCAAGATTAACAACAACACCCTCCCCAAACGCAGCCTCCTGACAATCCTCATCCCCAACCCCATTAACAAACTGCACAACAACAAAATCAACCCGTCTCTTCCCCAAAACAACCATAGGTGCATGCCACGTCCCAACACCATAAGTAACAGCCTGACCACCACGCGCAACAAAAGCCTTAACATTTTCCAAATCCGGCGGGTCACGGATAGTAACCATCTCCCCAGCCTCATTCTTCGCAGTAGCAGTCTGACCCTTCAAAGTAGGCGCAACAACAACCAAAAACAACGGCTCATCCTCACCCTCACCCTCACCAACCTTCGAATGACTCGACAAATCCACAGGAATAAACGTCTGGGTCGTAAAAGGGTGGCGTTCAAGAATGCGCACGTCAAAGACTTCCTGGTCAGGCTTAGCCTGCTGGCGGCCTGCATAGATAGTGCGCAATTTGCGCGGGAAGCAGCAGAACATGGTCATGCGTGCTTCGGCGGGTTGGCCGCTTGGGCAGCCATTTGTGTAGCGGTCGAGGAGCGGGGAGATGGGGCTGTACTTCAGTGCGGAGTTTTGGTTTGCTAGCACCGGTGTAGGGTTGTTGGGAGGTAGAGACGAGGGTTGAGGGGCGACGCTAAGTGCGCGTGGTAAGGGGGAGACTAGTGCTGTGCCGAATGGTGCGAAGTTCATTGGTGTCAGTGACTCTGGGATGAGCGTTACACTTGGGTTGGTGGTGAGGATCGGCGCCATTATGAAGGTTTGAGGCGGTTGTCTTCTCGGGTGAAGTGTGTGCGTTGGGCAATTGCTCGGATGTATGTCGCCTCAGCTTGAGTAGGACTACAGCTAAAATAAAAGGGAAGAGAAGTTGAGGTTGATGAGAAACTGCGGAGATGTCGGCGGGCTCCGGTGATGCTGGGGGCCGATAAGACAATTACGATAAGCGGCCGGGGCCGAGTATAAAATGTCTAGTTAGGGCTCGGGGAACTTATAAAATGCCATCGTTAACTGGTCTTTAATGTAACATACTACAAACGCTCTATTGATATAGTTAACTTGGTGGCTAAGACTATGTGTAGCACCACTATGTGTCAGTCAACTGGTGGGACTGACTTAAGGTACGACTACTGCATTCTCGCACATTCTATATGTGGCGATCAAGACCGTTGGCATTCTAGTTATCGGGCTCATGAGATTCTGTGTAACGGTTTGTATCCTCTTGCGCCTATATCTTTCCTGGTTCTGAAATGCGTGCAGCTCATTGGTATATATAATCGTTCTAAACATATAGGTTACTCCGAGGTTATCGCACCATGGATCCATCATTTCGATATTGGGCAACGAACGGTGTAGAGTCTGGCACCATCTTTAAAGCAAGCTGTTCTCAGCCATAGTCAGTCTCTATTGGTGTGAGTCTCAGCCCGCTCTTCTCACCGACTTAACACATGTATGTCTCTGAGTGGCTCCGAGTCCAAGCACGATGGCATCCGCGCCATCAAAGACGATGAAACTAAAATCCACCCCTGTCCAATATCACCGTCTGTTGAATTCAACTGGATGCTGAAGATGTGCGATAACCTCCTTGTTAGGTTTGTACAAGCGGTTCATCAATGCCAGTTCATTGATACCCAACGATAGATACAACCTCGAACGGTTTGATGCAAGCTCTGTATTCAGATATCCTAGTTTGTGCGGGGTTTGACACTACAAATTTCCTTTCAACCGTTTGTGACAGTAGCTATGTAGCTTGATGCACTGTCTGATTGGCCGTGAAGCCGGTAGGTCAAGGGTGCCAGTACATTGTTGGGTACTTTCCGAGTACTTGGTCTATGGACACGGGCAGACCCGAGGATATCTGAGATCTAAAGCAGAATAATCTAAAAAGCCAACAATATCCATGGATATGTTGGAGATGGTTCGCGCATTAGTTGCGAGGCAACCACTGCTGTATCGAAATTTTGTTTTCGAATCAGACCAAGTCTGCTCCAAATGAGGCTCAAAAAACTACAAGATACAACATTTGGGCAGATACTCTCTGCACATGCTCAAGGGATGGCCAATCATACACTCTTCCAGTCCCTATCCATGAAACGCGCGGGATGACCGCGTCAATCGCTATTGGTGTGTGGGATCCTTTTCTCCGGGTATGATGCCGGATTTAGTGCCATCAGTACACAATTGCATGAGCTTCACACCGTTCTTTGATTGACACTAAGTCCTCAGCGGTTGAGTCCCGATGCTGTCTTGGGATCTGGAATGGCGAGCTCGGGTATAAAGCCACCATGTTTCCGTCAAGTTGAGCGCTGAACTACGATCAATCCATCCTCCTGCTCAGAACGTCCTTTGATTCTTTGGTTCATTTTTCATACTTCACAGGGCTGCCTAGCGGTTCAAATATTTGACTTCACTAGCAACAATGGATATGTCTACAAATCAATACTTGCAACAGCAAGCTACACCCAGCAACTCCCAAGACAACACAGGCGCTGCACAGTCAAGCATTACCGATGCCTCTGCCACAGGTTCAAGTCAGACACAAAGGTGCGATAACTTCTTATCTCTTGATCTATACCGTGCAAATAGCTCCCAAAGCTAGCCCACAGTATACTACTGAACGCATAGTTGGAACTATCAACTAACGTAGACTCAACTTCCAGCAGCAGCACATATTCTCCGACCTTCCAACGGGACATGAACTACGATCTAAGTGAAATAGGATCTTGGGTCGACAAAGCCAGCCTTAGCTACCCTTCCACATTCTCCACAAGTTCCAATTGACCTCGTTGCCACCTCAGCAATGCGGCTCTTTGGTGCATACTAGGATGAGAAAGGAAATATTCGGCGATACGGTGAGTTCGTCTTTGACTGAACGATATTATGCGCGAAGGATGTAAATTAACACAAGTTAGGTATCGAGAATCCGAGTAGACCCGACATCCAATCGAAAGAGAGGCCTATACTCCATATCAACTGTGACGTTTATTTGGAGGATTAGCTCATTTGTGCATGGATACCTTGGAGACAGCCGCGGGGATATCCCTGAACAAGGAAAGTTGGACCGACGATCGATATGAAATTATTACTTGCTTTTATTGTTAATTTTGTTTTTCCTTTTAATTCCTTTCTTTTTCTTCTTTTAGCAAGAGACAGGCATGTGAGAGGAAGAGTATTGGCGGGAGGTGGAGACGTATGCAGTCGTTGTTGGTCTTCGCATGGTGGCTAGCGGGCTAGCGAAAGAGCATATAGCAACATTTCCTGCAGTTCCGATGCCACGAGATGAATGGAGATATTCATGTACATCATGGCAGGGAAATCGAGATTTTAGCCGAGAATGGACAATGAACTGTCGTACAGAGTACACATTGAGGCGCTCGTTTCCCCTCTTTCTCTTATCTCGGGCCTTGACCGTGTTTGCTCCATGTTGATCATCTGCATGTGGAGACTAATGCTATGAATTCAATTTGTGTTGTTGAATCGTGCATATAGATGTAACATCAAGTTGCATCCTCGATGCAGTAGTGCCCAAATGGGGAAGACGGGGACTTGGTGTTGGAATTTAGTATAATAACGTAGCCAGATATAAACAAGGTTGACACGGATGATACAGGGAGCCAAGGAATACTGGGTAGCTGGTCACTTGACCTGGTAGGGCTAATAATGGGGTTTCTGATGAGTCCAGCAGCGTGGCAAGTATAACTGCAGACTCATCAGGGAACACTGAGGCATAAGGCAAATACCAGGCAGCTCTGTTTTGGGGAAAAATTATCTAAATCATTATATGTATGTCATTGAAGGAATGCTATCAGAGTAAGAAACTCCTGACCTTCATCATAATATGTACTCCGCTGATGTTGATATTTATGGCTTACAACTGGTCTCACACAGAAGCTTTCGGGCCGTTAAGTATGCGAACTATAGCCACGCTCAACACACGTGTCTTGAATGTTTGAACTTGGGCATTGGAAATTGAGATATTCAGATTAAAATCTGCTCTCGTAGAGCCTAATGCCCCTGTGAGAGGTTATGTTGTGCTATATATACCTGACAGGCTACTGAAGTGATTGAGATAGTGTAGATACAAGTGTTATATCCGGTGCCAATTCAAAGCTGTTGGAAAAGATTAAGCAATCAAAATATGAAGAGTGTTGAAGTGAGAAACCGAGTCCCGGTAATAAGTCTCAATCCTGTTCATATATTTGTTAAGTGTCTCCTGGACAGGACACTTCGAGTTGCGACATTTTGGATACTCTTTGGACCCGTGGAATCTGGAACCCGGTTGCCACGTCTTTGTCAAAGATGCGATACGCTTAGGGGCGTGTGCTTTGAGATAAACAGAGACCCAGTGACGGTTTGGCTCAGACGGGCTGTTTTAATCTGATGAGACATACTGTTCTGAGCCATCTTCTTCAAATAAGCTCTAGATATTTTCCATCGCATTCACTAGTATAGTGACTCAGGCCATCCAAGAGCTGCTCCAGGCGACGTTCCAAAGAATTTGCTAACTTTGCCAGATAACTTTTTTTTTTTTTTTTTTTTGTTCGATCAATGCCATCTGGGATTGCATAATTAGCCAAATTTCTTGAACTTCTTGAGTGGCTAGTTTAAGTACCCACTACACTTTTAGAAATTGGTAAGAGGCTGGTAAACTTTCTGTGATAGAGTTGCCTTTCCTTCCTGCATAGCAATCCTTGTTGCCCGCTTGAAGATCATAGAACATTTGATAATGAAAGAAATCATGATCCATCAGGATCACCGTGATGAGAGTGTGGCCTGAATGGAGCCATTAGGTTGTTGCTCGACCTGGTTGACTGTGTCGTAGGGGATTGGGTCGGATATCTTCCATCTCCGAGGGGTGAGTTCGAGACTGTTGCAGGAAGATGAACGGTTTGGAAGAGGGAAATGAGCAAACATAGCGGGTGTCCGCTTGAATTATACACACTAGGACGCATCTGCTCACCAGAATAATGTAAATGTTTGAAACTCTAGCTCTACCATAGAACATCGATTAAGCACCGAGATTAGCTCTACACTGCTTTCTCAACAGGGAATTGAACCATATAAGTTAAACTATACAAGAGCAGGTGGGTATATGTAGAGTTAATATAAAACATGTTAATTGTAAAAGTGAATATGGTAGTTTAATGTGTGACAATGGGTTTGAATGTCAAATTTTGAAAGCCCAATAGAGCATCAATAGAAGCTTGAGAACACTCTTGGAAAGATAACAAGTTGCCACCGGATAACCTAAAGCTATCTTTGGGGACAGGATTTGCATCATCTCCTCATCCTAGTGTACTAGGAAATATTTGGGCTCACGGTGAGTGTTCAAAATGGCCTCAGGCAACCACCACCGGAGTCAAGGCCAAACATGCTCACAGCATATCACCCACGCCGATTGCAAGCCTGAGGAGACCGGCTCTCTTGACTTTTTTTTGGTGGTAGAGAAACGAATTTCTCGTGGTGCTGGATTTTATCAGAGGTGCCGACAGTCACTAGTTCATTTCCACAAAAACCAGCAAACTGAGAGCAGCATGCTAAAGTTGATTCAGGTAGCATTTCTTCCCTTGGCGTCAAATTTGGCTTTCTTGGCTCGTCGCTTGATTTCCCTTTTCGATAGAGGCTTGTCAGGGTCCTCGGCAATGGGCTCAGAGCTGATAGAGGCCTTTCGCTTGAGGTTATCAGCCCCGGTGTCCGACTCTGTAGATTCTTTCGATTTTGGTGCGCCTTTCTGCTTTTGCGCAGCACTTTCGGCTTTGACCTTCTCACCACCATGGACAACGTCAACGATACCTCGCCAGCTGGTACGCTTCAATTTGGCCAACGCGACGACCTTCCTCGTCTCTTCGCAGATTGCTTCCTTTCCACGCTCTTGTGACAGCCCCCAGACACAGGTAAGGTTAATCACGTCCCACGGGGCTCGTAGACTCAAAGCCCGTCGGGCTTCGCTCGACACAATAATACCTCGGCCGCGTGTTGCCCGGATCAAGGACGTTGCATTCCCGATGAGGTTCCTCCGCGCATCAAGACCACTCCCTGTGATCCCTGGCCCATAGCATATTTCGATTCGGATTCCACGTGAGATTGCTGCAGAGAGCATTTTAAACTTGAAATGATAGGGCAGTCTCACGGAAAGATCCACCGAGATCACGTCGCATTCCAGATTCGTACAGGCATTTAGCAGGGATTTCTCGTTTGTGGGACGGAGCGCGACCAGATCGTAAGCTTGAGTCAAGACGGCCAGCCGTTGATTCTGCGCGGGGTCGGCCAGAGTCAGGTTCAACCGGGTCAGCAGTTGGAGTGATTTCGGCGGGTTCGCTGGGAGAGGAGGTGGGGTGAGGCTCGCAGGAAGCTTCCCGTTGATTGTTTGAGACAAAGCAACGGTGGTGTAACCAACTAGCGAGTCAGGTTAGTCTCTCATGTGCTCCCAAGGCGGATCCTGTGCCGGAGATCGGAATGAATGACTTACGTTCAGCGAGGAAGTTGAGAGTGTGGGGCACCTCTGGGTCATCCGGGCTGTAAGGTACATTCAAGTCGTAAAACATGTTGGATTTAAAAGGAGGCCAGCCCTGCCTATCTTCTTGACTCTACAACTTGATCACATCGAACTGTCCCAAAAGGGCAATCAGAAAATCTGTCGGATCAATAATTGATCCGTGCCTAACCGCTTTCGGCCGGCTCCCCACAAACCCTCGGTCCCGTGACTCTGGGATCTCATTCTACGGATCATCATAATATCTCACTCTGTCTATCCCATTGCTCCAGGTCTCTTGCGAGCTTTGTGTTTGGGCTTGATCGTTCCTGGGCTTGCTGCTCTCTGCCTTTCAAGTCGACTCACCTCCCCGTTTCTCGTCACACGGCCGTGCCCCTCGTGACCCCGCTGCACATCTTTCAATTGTGGGCGCACTCGGAAATCGCCTGCTATCGTCAATATGGCGCGTGTCTATGCTGATGTCAATGAGCATATGCCTCGGTCCTACTGGGACTACGACAGTGTCAACATCTCGTGGGGTGTCCTGGAAAATTATGAAATCGTTCGCAAGATAGGTAAGATATGATCAGATCACGCCATTCTGTGGCATATCGGAGGATTGCATCGCAAATGCCAGACTGCAGCTGGATTGATAGATCAAAGTTTTGCTGACTTTTCCGTTACCAGGTCGGGGAAAGTACTCTGAGGTCTTCGAAGGCATCAACGTCGTCAACTACCAGAAGTGTGTTATCAAGGTTCTCAAGCCCGTGAAGAAGAAGAAGATCAAGCGTGAGATCAAGATTCTTCAGAATCTTGCCGGTGGGCCCAACGTTGTTGCTTTGCTGGATGTTGTTCGCGATAACCAGAGCAAGACTCCCAGCCTGGTCTTCGAAGCTATCAACAATACCGACTTCCGCACCCTATATCCCCGCTTTTCCGACTATGACGTCCGCTTCTATGTTTACGAGTTGCTGAAGGCGCTCGATTTCTGCCACAGCAAGGGCATCATGCACCGTGATGTTAAGCCCCACAATGTCATGATTGATCATGAGAAGCGCAAGGTTAGTGGAGCAGTCGATTAAAGTGGAGAGTGATTCTAACACTTTCTAGCTTCGCCTGATTGACTGGGGTCTGGCTGAATTCTACCACAAGGGCACGGAATACAACGTCCGTGTTGCTTCTCGGTACTTCAAGGGTCCCGAGTTGCTGGTGGACTTCCAGGAATACGACTATTCTCTGGATATGTGGTCTCTGGGTGCTATGTTCGCATCCATGATTTTCCGCAAGGAGCCTTTCTTCCACGGAAACAGCAACTCCGACCAATTGGTCAAGATTGCCAAGGTTCTTGGAACCGAGGAGCTCTTTGAGTACTTGGACAAGTACGACATCGAGCTGGACCCGCAATATGATGACATTCTCTCTCGCTTCCCTCGCAAGCCGTGGCATTCATTTGTCAACGCTGAGAACCAGCGTTTTGTCAGCGATGAGGCCATTGACTTCCTTGACAAGCTTCTGCGATACGACCATGCTGTAAGTTATTTTGTCATCTTCACTCTTGTGTTTTACTGACGCGCTATATAGGAACGCTTGACTGCTCAGGAGGCCATGGGACACGCATACTTCGACCCCGTCCGTGCCGACGCACAGGCTCTCAGCCACAACAACGTTACCCAGTCCTGAGTTCTCACATGAACCGTTGCTGACCATGGCTTCAATCACCCCCTTGCAATGCCCGAGTTCCGAGTTCTCCGCATGCTGCCTTCAAGATTGCGCCAGGAATCTTAGCTATTTATTCCCTTTTGCATTTGAAAGCTGTCGTGATGAACGGTACGACGGTGGTCGACAACATGAAAGGAGCTTGGTCTTCGTAACCACTCTATCCTCCCTATTCCAATCTTTATCAGGCCCTTCAACAGAAGGGGCTGCGGCAAACGATCAAATTCTGAACGAAGACGACTTTGATGACAAGACATCATGACATTTAATCTGCTGGGTCTTTTAGACCCTCTCATCGCCTGGGTCGTTTGGCGTGTCAGTGAGCGTGATAAATCAGCGTCTTAGATGGGCTACTCTTCTCTTTCATCTCTTCTATTTGTATAGCGCTGCTCGTGGGTTCCCTTTTAATTGATTTCTCCCTTAGTTGAATTGGTGTTATGGCCGTTCTGCTGGGTGCTCTTTGGCTTACTTATTGTTTTCAAGGAGGGCTCTTTTACAAGACAATGCATTGCATCTTATTACACTCTATCATATGAATGAAACAAGTGGATACAAAAAAAAAATTCCAAAATTTGCTATAGAACCTTGACGAGATAGATATATGCAAGTAAATCGTAGTGTAGGGCCTTATTCGTTGACAACCCAAGTAGTATCTCTTACAACATGTCAACTTGACTAGACGATCCAGTATATAAGACCAGAAATGTCATGCGACCATGCCAGTACTCCAAGTCTATACTTATAGATCGCGGTACCTCAGATCGCCCGTTGGCTCCAGCGTATCACGTGAGGGCTTTATCGCAACGTCTGGCCGAGAAAAGAAAACAAATTACAATGCGCCTGCAGAAAGGGAATATAAAATCCCAATAATCATCAGTTGAGTGACTCTTTGCATATAAGCGCGTTTCGTCCGACTCCACCTGGGCACCGAACCTCCCACCAAGCCCCGCGCTCTCATTCGTTCACCCACCGTGGAAATTTAATTGCCCGCATTTCGCACAACCACCCCTCCTTGTATCTCTCCATCTCTCAAGATACTTATCCGGCGGTTCGTGGCGCGATCGGCGCCTTGGAGATTTACTCCTCACTATCGTGCATTCTCCAGGATGGCTCAGAACTCTGCCTCCCAAAACCCCAGTGAGTACAATGACTCATTTCAGTGTCGCAGAAGCTCATGCATGTTACTCGAACAGCGGGTGAGCCTACGGCTCCCCTTACCAGCGCACCCCCTCAGGTCGACGAACAGACGCGCACCCAGATCGCCGATGCCGCCGCAAAGGACGCCCAGGGCCAGCACCAGGGTGGCGATGCCGCTCCCAAGGTGAAGACCGAGAAGGAGTGTATGTTACAACCAGGCCGACAGCTGGTCCCTTCCGTCCGTATGGACCATGATACTATGGGCATTCGCTAATACATTGGACGGCTTATAGTGGAAAAGGAGCGCAAGAAGGCCGAGAAGGACAAGAAGTTTAAAGAGAAGCAAGCGGCCAAGGCTGCTAAGGCTGCTGCCACCAAGGACGCACCTCCCAAGGCCGACAAGAAGGCCAAGCCCGAGAAGGAAAAGACCACCGATGCATACGACCCTCACGTTATCGAGGCTGGCCGTCTCGATTGGTGGGAGGAGCGTGATCTCTTCAAGCCCGAATTTGGCCCTGATGGCAAGGTCAAGCCCGAGGGTTCCTTTGTTATTCCTATTCCCCCTCCTAACGTTACCGGTTCTCTTCACATGGGTCACGCCCTCACCAACGCCCTCCAAGACACTATGATCCGTTGGCAAAGAATGAAGGGCAAGACCACACTGTGGCTTCCTGGAATGGACCACGCCGGTATCTCCACCCAGAGCGTTGTCGAGAAGATGCTGTGGAAGAAGGAGAAGAAGACCCGTCACGACATTGGCCGTGAGGCCATGGTTGGTCTGATTTGGGACTGGAAGGACGAGTACCACAAGAACATCAAGAACGCCCTGCGCCGTGTTGGTGGTTCTTTCGACTGGAGCCGTGAGGCCTTCACCATGGACCCCAACCTGTCCGCTGCTGTGACCGAGACCTTCGTTCGTCTCCACGAGGAGGGTATCATCTACCGTGCCAACCGCCTCGTCAACTGGTGTGTGCACTTGAACACTTCTCTGTCTAACCTCGAGGTTGAGAACAAGGAGATCGAGGGCCGCACACTTCTCGATGTGCCCGGTTACGACAAGAAGGTCGAATTTGGTGTCTTGACTCACTTCTGCTACGAGATTGATGGCAGCAAGGAGCGCATTGAGATTGCTACCACTCGTCCCGAGACCATGGTTGGTGACACTGGTATTGCTGTTCACCCCGACGACAAGCGCTACCAGCACCTCATTGGCAAGAATGCCCGTCATCCTTTCGTGGACCGTCTGCTTCCTATTGTTGCTGACAAGGAGGTCGACCCCGAGTTCGGTACTGGTGCTGTCAAGATCACCCCTGCCCATGATTTCAATGATTTCAACCGTGGTAAGGCCCACAACCTGGAGTTCATCTCCGTCATGAACGATGACGGTACCTTCAACAAGCATGGTGGTCCCTTCGCCGGCATGAAGCGCTTCGATGCCCGTTACAAGGTCATTGATGCTCTCAAGGAGCAGGGTCTGTACGTGAAGTGGGAGCACAACCCCATGAAGGTTCCCCGCTGTGCCAAGTCCAACGATGTCATTGAACCCATCCTCAAGCCCCAGTGGTGGATGAAGATGGAGAGCTTGGCTAAGCCTGCCATCGAGGCAGTCGAGAACGGCGATATCATCATTCGCCCCGAGTCCGCCGAGAAGAGCTACTTCCGCTGGATGCGCAACCTGAACGACTGGTGTCTGTCCCGTCAGCTCTGGTGGGGTCACCAGGCCCCTGCCTACTTCGTCAAGATTGAGGGCGAGGATGGCGATGACAGCGACGGCAACCTATGGGTTACCGGCCGCACTGAAGAGGATGCCCATAAGAAGGCCGAGGAGAAGTTCCCCGGCAAGAAGTTCTCTCTGGTCCGGGATCCCGATGTTCTCGACACATGGTTCTCTTCTGGTCTGTGGCCCTTCTCTACTCTGGGCTGGCCCCGCCAGACCCACGACTTCGAGAACCTGTACCCTACCTCCGTTTTGGAGACTGGCTGGGATATTCTCTTCTTCTGGGTCGCTCGTATGATCATGCTAGGTATTAAAATGACTGGCAAGATTCCCTTCAAGGAGGTCTACTGTCACTCCCTGATCAGAGATTCCGAGGGCCGTAAGATGTCCAAGTCTCTGGGTAACGTTATTGATCCTCTGGATGTCATGGAGGGTATCCAATTGCAGACTCTCCACGACAAGCTGCAGCTGGGTAACATTGCCGATAAGGAGATTGCCACTGCTACCAAGTACCAGAAGAAGGCTTTCCCCAAGGGTATCCCCGAGTGCGGTGCTGACGCTCTCCGCTTCGCCCTTGTTTCTTACACCACCGGAGGTATGTGTATTTGATGTCCGTTTCTTATATCATTCGCTAACAACAGCTCGCAGGTGGTGATATTGCTTTCGATATCCAGGTTATCCACGGCTACCGTAGGTTCTGTAACAAGATCTACCAGGCTACCAAGTTCGTTCTTGGCAAGCTAGGTGATGACTTCAAGCCCCAGGCTGCTGTTAAGAAGACTGGCCACGAATCTCTCTCCGAGCGCTGGATTCTGCACAAGTTCAACGCCGCCGCCAAGGAAATCAATGAGGCCCTTGAGCAGCGTGAGTTCTCCCAAACCGCCCAGATCTCCTACCAATACTGGTACGCCCAACTGTGCGATGTGTTCCTCGAGAACTCCAAGTACCTATTGGCCGCCGAGGCCTCGCCCGAGACCCAGGAGTCTGCCAAGCAGACCCTCTACACTGCCCTCGACGGTGCTCTGACCATGATCCACCCCATCATGCCCTTCGTCACCGAGCACCTGTGGCAGCGTCTTCCCCGCCGCGCAGGCGACGAGACCATCTCGATCATGAAGGCCAAATACCCTGAGTACATTGCCGAGTTCGATGACCCCGCCGCCGCCGACGCCTACGAGCTCATCCTCAACTCCTCCAAGGCTATCCGTTCAATTCTGGCCCAGTACGATGTCAAGACCCAGGGCGACATCATCATCCAGACCTACGATGCCACCAGCGAGAAGACCATCTCCGAGCAGATGACCACCATCAAGTCTCTGGGTGGTAAGACCCTCGGCGAGCTGACCCACCTCGGCCCAGACAACAAGAACCCCCCATCCGGCTGTGTTGTTGCCCCCGTCGGTGCCGAGGCCGCCGTCTACCTCCGCGTCTCCAAGGAGGTCGCCCTCGAGCAAGAAGAGAAGGCCAAGGCTAGTCTCGACAAGGCTCTCTCGACTGTTCGCAAGTCTCAGGGTATCATGAACGGCCCTGGCTGGAAGGACAAGGTCAAGGCTGAGGTTCGTGAGGCTGAGGAGAAGCGTCTTCGTGATGCTGAGAGCGAGGCTGCTCGTCTTGAGGAGCAGATTAAGGAGTTTGAGAAGCTGCGCTTGGAGTGAAATATACATGTGTGGTTAAAGATACAAAATAAATGAATTGATTCCCTTTTGTTAAACTATTCCTTCCATGGGTAACATTCTACTAACTTACTGGAGCATAACTGTTCCGTATTGACATGTTAGTATTGAAAAGAAACAGAATGCTTCAAGGAGACCTGGAACAATCTTTGGATTATGTACGTAGGTCATGCAAACACTTTCCCATTGCAAGGCTTTCTCTTTCCCTTTATACTCATTCTCCTCTACGGTCTAACCTCAATGCACCTCCAAGAGCAAGTTTGGCCATACTGTCCCCTAGCAGTACATTGAAAAGCCTCCTCGACAGACTGATCAGGCTCGGTGGGAATTGATTTCACGAGTGTGAAAGGTAAATAGACAGAGAAATTAGCATTCTAAGATTCTGCTATAGGGAACAGCCAACAGCCAAAATATATAAATATGTGGCTAACCACCCCCTTGCTACGCACCATGATATAAAAACGGTTGGTTCCTTGAAATACTCAGACTGAAAAAAGCACAACCAAAAGAATAATCTCTTAAAAAGAAAAATAAAGTCTCATAGCTGAGTGCTAAGCTAAGCTAAAATTGAAAACACAAAAAAATGGTTTCCCTGGGAATCGAACCCAGAACCTTTCCGGAACACTTGCTTGAGGCAATTGTTAACGGAAAATCATAACCGCTAGACCAGGAAACCAGTTGATGTGGGATGGCCCGCTTTTCGCCACTGTGAGCGGTAGCGAGCAGACAGATCCCACGTGACAATGTCCCTTATCGATAACAGTGCCAAGCCATCGATCCAAAACTTTTCCGCTCTTTTGATATTTTTGCTACGAGCCTTTCAGCAGATATCCACACCACAATGTTGAGAGAAGTGTAAGTTCAAACTGGCTTTCAAGATCGAAATTATTTACTAATACCCTGATTCTCAGAAAGGCCAAGAACCCGCGCACTGCGCGCATCCTGAAAGCGCGGGAGCCCCAACTCATCGAACCCCCCAAGAAGACCCTGATCTTCCACGGCACAAAATGTCCCCAGGCCCTGGATACCGTTCTCAAGACTTTCCATCACCTGACGAAGCCTTACTCGGTTCTCTTCCACAAGAAGAATGAGAACCTGCACCCGTACGAGAACTCGGAGAGCCTCGAATTCCTGGCGAACAAGAACGAGTGTGGTCTGGTCGCCTTTGGAAGCCACAACAAGAAGCGCCCCAACTGCATCACATTGGCCCGTGTCTTCAACTCACAACTCCTCGACCTGTGCGAGTTGAACTTGCTGCCCGCCAGGGATGGCGAGGTCATCCCTCCTATCAACGAGCTTAAGATGGACGTTGGTCTCGGACTCCGCCCTATGATGCTGTTCGCCGGTAGCCCCTGGGACGACCCTACATCAACTGCCCACACCATTCTCAAGAGCACTTTCCTCGACATGTTCAAGGGCGAGGAGACCCACCAGATCGACGTCGAGGGTCTTCAGTATGTCTTGATGGTTGCCGCCGACGAGCCCCAAGCCGGTCTCTCCCCCATCATCCACCTTCGCTGGTACAGAGTTGTCACCAAGCGCAGCGGCCACAAGCTTCCCCGCGTTGAGTTGGAGGAGGTTGGCCCCAAGTTCGACTTCAAGGTCGGCCGCACACGCCAGGCCGCTCCTGAGGTTCAGAAGGAGTCCATGAAGCAGGGCAAGCGTCCCAACGAGGAGGCCCGCACCAAGAAGAACATCATCACCGACTCAATCGGTGACAAGATTGGTCGTGTTCACCTTGGCAAGCAGGATCTGTCGGCTTTGCAGACTCGTAAGATGAAGGGTCTCAAGCGCCGGGCGGGTATGGAGTCAGACGATGAGGAGCAGGAGGAGGATATCATGAGCGTAGATGAGGACTCTGAAGAGGAAGAAGAGAGCCACAAGCGGGCACGGAAAAACTAAGATTTGCATTATTTCTTTTGCTAAGGCGTTTGGGCCGGACGGGATTGTATACTTTCTGCGCCTGTATGAGCAGTCTTATCGGCATATGAAAAGTTTCTTAACTCTACAATGATAAAGATATTGATCGATATAATGCTATACTCCGATGCCCCTAGTCAAGATCTATAGACCGCCACGTGACCATGACGTCGGCTCAGCTCTCACATGCCGAGGCCCTTCTCAATGCGGAACCGAGTAAAGTGCCGTTCCCCTCCCTATCTCCTTCACCTTCTATCCTTACTCTGTTCGTTTCTGTTCGCCATCGTCCCTAAGTCTATCGTCCCGGTGTACCACCCCTATCGACCGCCGAACAGTATCTGACCTCCTACCGAGGTCCAGCGGCGGCATGGATACACTGCTGGTAAGTATCGCAAACGACACGATAAACAAAGATACTAACAGTATCCGCGCAGTCCCAACTGGATGCGCTCATCCTCAAACCAGAACTCGCGCCGTTACTGTCCCTAGTCAAGGGTGCTCGCAATGGAGTCGTCTACGGATCGAAAGTGCGCTTTCCGCATGCGCTGGTGTACGTTAGCCGTCGGACAATCGGAAAACATGATATAACAGATTGCTGACCAGTGTGGACTTTATGTAGGATGATATTCCTGTTTCGGTCTGGAACGTACGTCACTCCCCTACGCTCGCTTCATGATTTTCGCGGAACTGATCCTTTCGCTATAGCATACGGGAAAAAACCAAGCTTGTTTTCAAAGCTACTCGCCAGCACGCGCGCAACCTCTCCACATTCGCTATCATATACAAGGCTTCTATGATCCTTCTACGGAATATCAACCCTGGCGGTGCCGGGAAGGAGGGCCGGTATGATAGTTTCTTTGCAGGCCTGCTGGGCGGGTATGCAGTTTTCGGACGACAGCCGGGCAGTATTAGCCAGCAGGTATGTATAGCTACCCCGAGACATGTTGGCGGACCTGGGATTATATTCCACTTTCTTCTTCCTGACTATCTTTTCCGGAACTAACACATCGCTAGATCGTCATCTATGTTTTCGCCCGTGTGATGCTTTCTCTCGCCAAACTCGCTATCCAACCCAACATGCACCCTCTCTCCTCCCTCATAACACCAGAGGCACGTACTAAGATCACGGATAATGCCTGGCCCGTGTTCGCCAGTATGACCTGGGCCTTTGTCATGTACATTTTCCGGTGGTACCCGGAGACCTTGGCTTCCAGCTTGCGGAGTAGTATGGTATACATGTATGTTTCTCCTCGATATAACCTGACGCTAGCATCGCTGGAAACTAGAAGCCTTTCACTTTTGATGCTAACTTTGGTTATAGCTACGCCGACTCTGACCATTGGGATTCCCTCCGCACACTATTCATACACAACAAATAAGCTCCCGGCGGGACCGTTTCTTAATTACTTTTCCGTCTTTCTTCTTTTTTTCCTTTGGACATATATGGCGCATAGAGCGGTTGTTACTTGGGTACTTAGTGTTTCCCGTAAGACATATTTGACCTGTGCATTTCATTTCAGGACCTGCTCATTACGCTTACGCCCTGTATTATGAGACATGGACTTTCTCTTATATTTTTGCCTGATAACATATAAACTTTGATGTATCTTGACTCTATGGGACTGGACTATCTGTAGCTTTGAACCTTAAATATGTGTCGCGGTTATGGCAGACAACAAAAACAGGGAAGAATGTGCAAGATCAAAATATTTTACAGCCGTGTTTTAGTAGGCCAATACTAAATGACTAGGTACCATTCATACCGAAAAATGCAGCTTACAATTCCCAAATAAAGTACGCAAAACCGTATCAGATAGAACAGCATGGAAGGGTATCAGATAAAATTAATTTTGAAAGAATACAAGAATCAAAACGACAGGGATATCGTACAAAAAATCGATTAGAAAAAGCAAAGAGATCAGAGCACCATTGACCACACCATTTACTGCTGCTCACCATCAACCTCAACAAGAACCTTCAAATCACCATCCATCCAGTCAACGGTATCAGCCGAAAGCAAAGCAATAGTCCAATCCTTCTGACTCTGAACAACAAGCATCCCATCCGGCAACCAGACCTTGACTCTCCACTCGGCGACAACAGCTGATTCGCGCGCTTCCTGCACGGCAGAGTTCATGTTGAGACCCTCTGAATCCTGGAATGGCAATCCGGGGATCTGGCCAGGGTATCGACGGAGGATTGCTTGCTTGACGGTGTCAATGTTGGGGCATTGGCTGGCAGGCAGGTCGAATCTGGGGAGAATGCGTTTTCCGCCCTGGAGAACGTTGATGCGGAGAGAGGTTTGAGCGTTTGAGGGGGGATTTGTGGTTGTTGGTGCCTGAGTTTGCTCGAGGGGTGTGAAAGGCTGTTGCTGGGGGTGAAATTGGTCGTGCGTATCTTGAGTTTGAGTTGGGTGGCCGTGCCTGTTTGCGATGTTCTCGCGGATGATGCGTGAGACATCGCGAGTAATACTGCTTGCACTGTTTGGGGTGTTAGCTGGTATTCTTTTTGTATAGGAAGAAAGGATTGCTTACAATTCATCACGGGCTGGAAGGTTGCGCTGCCCGCCGATGCGCCAGTTCAGGTTCGAGCAGGTGTCTGCGTGAATAATGCGGTTGACGTTTGCGTCTTCGCAAGCAGGTTGACAGTCGTATTCTCCGCCGTGGATGACTTGGTAATGGCTGTCGACCGCAGCGACGATTCCACGCCAGTCGGGCTGCTGGAGACCGGAGAGGGACCAGAGGTTATCAAGTTCGTATCCTTGATTGTAATTATCATAGCATCGGGCAATCTCCTCCCAGTCAGCGGTGTAACCGTCCAAGAGGAGATCTGTCAGACCGATGTTCACAGATTGGGTAGGGTCCATTGTTGATTGCTGTACGGGAGGTGGAGGTGGAGGCATTGACTGCGACATATCGTCAGGACGATGTTGCTGATTCTGCATTTGGAGGTGCTGCTCGGGTGAGAAGCGTGGGCTGTTCAGATTGGAGAAATCCTCAGTCTTGCGACGACGACGTTCATCAGAACCACCACCCTTGCGAGTTTCAATAGCGTATTGACGTTGTCTTTCGTTAGTGACCATACGTCGCAGCAAAGGAATGACCAGTGAGATGATTTTGTGATGGTCACGCGGCCAGATGTAAGCTCTCGGTCCCATGCCCTCATTGACGACATTCTCTCCAAAGAAGCGCTCCCCATTGCCTTCTCCTTCGAGGAATTGACGAACGCAATTCCAAAGACGAAGTTTGACCATCTCGCTATCTCCCTTTCCACGCTGGCCAACACACTCCCGTCTCTCAGGGTGTTCATCATTCAACATGTAATTCTTCGCAGCAGCTTGCAGATGCAAAAAGTTCTCAGGTGAGATCTCAAGCGACGAAAACATCTTCGAGATAGGAGGCCGAGTGTATTTCTTATTGCTAGAAGGCTGGCGGAACAATGCCGCAGCAGAATGCACACCAACAGCCCGAGCATCCGACAAAGACTGAGGCTGAACCGGACGAATATCCATATTATCTCCAGCACCAGCATAGCCATGAGGCTGCTGAGCAGAATGAGACTGCTGCTGCGATCCCGAAAGACCAGCACCCGCCAAGGCCGGATCGAGATTATCGTCATTCCTCTTTCGCTTTTTCGAAACCGTGCGGGAAAGACCTGGAGATTGAGAGTGATCACTATGACTGGGAACCCGCAAATGTCTGCCATTGTTCATGCCAGTTCCGAAGTTCGTCTCCGCAAACTTCCCGTCTCCAAACCCGTCGTCGTCAAGGTGCATGTCAGCGCCATATCCGTCCAGCTGATGGTGATGACCAGCTGCGCCGGCAGCTGCTGCAACTGCGGCAGCGGCAGCCCATTGAGAGACATCTTGGTCTGCGGCTGCGGTGGCCGCCTCCACTAATCCGGCGAGCTGGTTGTCGTTGGGCGCATACCCATTGTTCCCCAGTTGCGCATTCGGGTCGAGATGAGGAGCGGCAGCTGATTGAGAGGGGATATCGGAAGAAGAGGTGGTAGGAGGTTGGTTATTGGAGGAGCTCATTGTATCGAATTGAGCTAGAGCACTTTGCGCCCTAATTCGATAAGCTGATAGGACGAAAAGTTGCTTTTCGCAGGTGAGGGTTGGGTAAAAATCCGACGCGAAAAGGGCTCTGGAAACAGGATCTTCTGAGTGCGCCTTGACGGTCCGATCCGGTGTCAAAGAAGTTAATATCGAGCTCTTATCAAGCTCTTGTTGTTATCCACGCGCGAATAGCTTCGAATTGTGGCAACGCAGCTTGGGAGAGCACCGTTCGAATATCAGAGGTGGCCACACCCCAGAGGGGGAGAAGCGCGCGTCTGAGAAAGAAAGATGAAGCTCTGAGAATTCACGAAGCTGAAAAAGCTTCGTTCGTTGGCGATAAGAGGCGCGGTTTGGAGATGCGATGTTTGCGTGGTTTGAATGAACGACAGACAGTGCAAACCCTGTCGAATCACGTGACTATCGCTTTCATGTGAATGCAACCTTACTAACGTCGACTCCGTAGAATAATGTATGTTTATGTATAGTATGGCAAGAAATAACGGTAAGAAACAAGTGTCATTGTGTCTATATTGCTCATATAGATCCGAAGTGGCAAACAAGCAAAATAAACCAAGCACTGAGGTAAACAGATACATTCAGGTTCAACACTATAGACCAACTCTTATACTAAAGTGAATGTCTATCATTTCATTGTAAAATATCATACATCCAATATTGAAGCAGAATCTAAAATACATGTCTAAATCAGATGTAACCAATCACTCCATGATAGATCCAATGGGAAATATACCGGCAGATAGATGAGACTTTTGCCCATGTCCAGAAATGCGGATATATCCAAACTCAAGATGTAAACCCAAAGCGCATGACTCGTGTATCAACGAGTATCCAAGAAAAAATGTTGTATAAATCATCATCCACAAACACCCATGCAGTGAGATGTCAGTCGGGCAAGCCAAACAGTTCAGAACCCATCACCCTCCTTCCAAGGACGACCAGCCTCCAGGGCACGGTTCCTAGGATTATTACCACGCTCAACAGCAGCCTGAAGCCTCTCAACAATCTCATTCTCCGCCCCCTCAATTTTCTGACGTAAAGACTCATCATCCCCGGCCGCAGGCGAAGTCAAATCCACCCCATCATTGGCAAAGTCAAGGTCATCAGCCAACCACATCCAACCACCTATATCATTCTGCAACTCAGTAACTTTAGCCTCAAGAGCCTGATACTCCCTAAACTCATCATCCCCCCCAAAACAGAACCCATACCCATCACACAAACAAACAGTCTCCTCGACACAAAGTACAGCCTCGCCCGTGAAGACATACTGCCACAAATACTCCCAAATCCGCCCCGTAATATAATCACTCAAATCAGTTGCCAACAACCAATCCCGATAATACACATACCGCGCATGTGGAATTGACCGGATCCGATCCCGCGATAGCGCAAATTGCGCACAGCACGGCTGAGCCAATACGTTCGGAATCGCCTCGTCGGGGAAGAGTTCCCCCCAAGCGCGTGCGAGCATGATCTCCTCCTGCTTCGACTCGTCTTCTTCGATGGCGCCGGGGTGCATCCACGCCGGACAGCCGGGCCCGTATCCGCAGCGGGTATTCATGTATCCTTCGCGGATAACGCGGTTCAGGTTTAGGCGGCGGAGCAGCTCGGCTGCGTCGCCGCCGAAGAGGTTATCATTGTGCCAGGCGACTTGGTGCGAGTGCATGAAAACTGCTACGTCTGGTAGGCGGTCGTAGTGGTCCACTATGTAGGTGAGATAGATCATGACTTCGTGGCCCTTGTTCTTGGGTGGGTGGAGGGGCGCGGATGGGTCGTCGGCGACGTAGACGGCGCGCTGCCAGTCTGGGAGTTCCTCTGCGATCCAGCTTGTGTCTTCTTCTTTGGTGCGGGCGACTACCACTGTCTTTGTGTATTTGTAGCCCGGGGGTTTGGGCGTGCCTGGGATGAAGTTTGGTGGGGGCGCATAGAGGTCGTTTGATGTGTGGCCGCGGGTTATGTTCCATCTTCCTGATCCTGATCCTGAGGCATTGTTGGAAGGGAGTAGGTCGCCTAGACCTATGACTTGGGGGACCTCACGCCATGGTCTAGAGAGGCTTCGGGCTGTGAGGATGAGGATGAGGAAGAAGCAGGCGCTGAGGAAGAGGACCGCTCGCCGTGGGAGAAGCATGGACGGGGTGTTCTATTTTATTAATTATCTCTTTGTAGGGTTAGCCTTGTGTCGCATGTTGTCGCACTGCAGCCAATGGTGTATGTGGGGGGCAGGGGTTGTACGCCGGGGAATAGGTGCGAGGCTATTGCCAGGGGTCCTTACATAGCACAAATATCACCATTTCCTCATTGCCCTCCGGAGTGTTCGGAAGGGGTTGTAAGGGTGAAAGAAAGGGTCAAAGGAAAAGACCTCCATGAGAGTAAGAGACAGGTCACTTTATCTTGACCATTGGCCCTGAAACACGGGATGTGGAGTAGTGACTGGCGCAGCGCAATGACGAAACAAGCCTTCGGGGGGATTTTTTAAGGTACGATCTTATGCAACTAACGCCGCTATAGAAGACCATATAAACCAATTGAACATCAATTGAAGCACTCAAGGCCCATAAGGACTTAAATACACATCTACACAAATTTGCGAGCAATAATTGTGCATATTGCATCGATGATGCGTAGACAGGAGACTTGACGATCCCCCCTATCCGTGCATGTACTCAGCCACGCGGCTTTGGACCCTGGGGCCGAGACTGTCTCTATATGGACATACAGATACGACCCTATATTCATGTGCAATTCCTAGATGTTACCATTGGACTACATGTACACATTTGCAAATAGGTAGATGGAATTCAACCGTATAAAAATCGTGAAAAGAAATCTGGGTATGATCTTTTGCTCGCGAGAAACGCCATGCAACGCTGGGGGATTGGAGAAGAAACCAGAAGGGGCTGAGCGGGCCCGAAAGAAAAATACAAAATGTGCAGGATCAGGATGCGTCTTCATCGGCCTCTTCGACCGTCGCCGCACGAGCTTTGCCCTTGGACTCGGAGTCATCATTGTCAGTAGAATCATTCGCAGTTGCACCGTTGCTACCCCAGGTAGTTGGGATGGTGGCTGGGCCTTCCTTCGGGGACTCCGTAGACTCCGTGGGCGCAACATCAGTCCACTCTTGAGAAGGAGAGTCTGCCCGGGGTTCAGGGGAAGAAAAAGTGGGTGTGAGCTGCAGGCTACCGTTCCCATTCGTGGATGCGGTTGTTTCAGTAGCCGTGCCTGATGCCTGTACTCCTCCATCAAGCTGAGACTGAGCAAGATCAAGGGAGGCGGCATCTCGGGGAGCAGCAACACTAGATGAAACCGTAGCGGAGGTATTTTCTGTGGTAGTCATAGGCTGTACTGTCTGAGGTACACCGACGCCATACTGCGTAGATTGCAAAGGCAACAGAGTCCAACCTGGAGGGAGTGTGAGTCCTTCTGGTAGACGAGGGTCTCCGGAACCCATAGTAGCATCTGGGCTTGTATTGAACCGGTGGCTCGTGAAACCCGGTGGGATCTGACCAGGATTTAGAGATGGGACTGGTTGGGCGAGAATATTTCCATTCCTGCGCAATCGCTCCAGCTCCACCTGGAGTTGACGCACGCGGTTCAGTTGCTCTGTGGCAATACGGAGAGAGTTAATCTCAGTGGTGATCCGCTGCTCAATCTGCAGTAGCTGAAGGTTGAGATCAACAGGGGGGGATACCCCAGGGGTCTGTGGGGCAGGCGCGGGGGTGGGGGCTTGGGGACGGCGGCCGAACCCAAATCCAAGCCCAATATGTCGGCCCGGAGGATTGGGGATTGGGTTTGCTGCAGGTTGCCCTGCTGGGTTGCCTTGGTGAATCTGTTGGTGAAGATTGTGGAAAATATCTCCCCGTACAGCCCCGAAGCCAATTCGGAAGGGTCCAAACTGATAGACTCGCGCACGAGGTTGTCCATTTGCGCCTTGTTGACCAGGTTGACCATGTTGCGGAGCCCCAGCGTTATTGCCAGCAGCTCCCTGCGTTCGCGTGGGCACGAGGACAGGGCGCCGACAAGTCGGGCAGTTTTGTTGCCTCTCAAGCCAGCTTCTGAGGCATGCAAAATGCAAGATGTGACCACATGGAAGCTTCTTGGGACGGAGCCGGTCAGGAACACGACGCGCTCCAGCTGCTGGCTGTCCAGGCTCCGCGCCGGCACCGGCTGCCGGCTGAACCGGGGTCATTTCCTCGCGACAGATGATACACACATCCTCCCGGGAGACCTCATCTGCCGATGCATCCGGATACCTCTCATTCATGTCTCGGGTTGCATTCCGGTAGCGAAGGAAGTCCATAATGCGACGAGCGAACGAGCGGATGGTCACCACAACGTCCCGCAAGATGTGAATGGGCAGGCCGTAGAAAGTGAGGAGAATTCCAAAAAAGGACAGATAGACCACGAGCTTCAGCAAGTCGGTCAAAAGATCAAGGTAAAACACCCAGCGGCCCTTCTCTTCCCATCCGGGCACGTCAATTTCCATCTCATTCACATCATTCTCATCAGGTAGGTCGGTAGGAGGGGAGGCAGCTCCTGCGCGTGCGTGTTCTTGGATAGCTTGCACACGTGCAGCACGAATCTCAGCACGGCGTTCGTCCATCTTGGCCTTGACTTGCTGGCTGGTTATGGAGATTTCGGTCAATGCGATGGCGTATCGGAGGAGGGTAGAGGTCGAAAGGATAGTCAAGATTGCGAATTCAAATCCAAACATGACCATCATATCTGGTCGCGCCTGACTGATGACGGTATGCACGCAGTACTGCAACATGAAGAAGTCAAATAGCACCGTCAACACCAGCGACAGCGCCAGTCGAATATGGAACAGCCGCGGATTAGCCGGAGGTTGTTGTTCCAAGTATTCGACACGGCCTTCGCCAATCCAGCCCCAGACCTTGCCAACCAGTAGCGAAATGAACATGACCAAAAACCAGCCCCCAAGTTCACCCCGGAAGATGGTCATGGCCAGACATGTCTCTGTAACGGCGAACCACGCCCGTTCATAGAGTTGTTCGGTTTCGATTGCTCGCAAGGGTCCGTAGAGAAGTCGCTGAAGCCAGAAGAGTACAAAGCCCGTGACGAGAAGGCATAAATTCGTGAGAATCTAGAGACAGGTCAGTCAGCGGATGACCCCGTGCGACAACCAATGTGGACAACTCACCATAAGATTCGCGCTACTTTGCGAAAGGTAGATGCATGCGGAATAGAAATTGGCCCTCTGATGAAGAGCCTTGAGAAATACACCGGTGGCCAGGACCACCGAGACCTGCAAACCGGGTTAGCGGTCTCCCCTCCATTCAGCTGCGGTACTACTTACCCCAGTATACGCGGCCAGTCTCATGGCTGTCGACTGAGATGGATGAGCCGAAGGTCATGGACCAAGGAAAAGTGAGAGACTAGCGTCTCAAGGTAGCATTTGGCGGAGAGAGTAAGAGAATGCCGTATCTTGTGGAGTGTAGCTTGACCTGGACAGGACAGCTTTCCAGAGCGCTCTCCGCATCTTACGTCAGCCACTGCACGTGCCGTCAATCTATACACCAAACTTTTTGAGAGTATTGTAAGGTTTGAGTGAGATTGAATGGTATTGAGTGAAATTAGGTGACATGGAACACAAGATACAAAGTGTCACTTTGAATGACTCGATCTGACTTACAAGGACTCGATTCCTATGACCTCATTGACGCTTCGGCTGAACATCGTACCAAACAAACAAACAATAGTATATTTGTTTAGACTCTACATCAATGACTGATAAGAATATATACAATGGCATTATAACTTTCTAATATTTAAGTAGCAATACAGAAACAAAAGCACCAAGATCTATGAAGAACGTCGATCGGTGTTTATCTGATCACCGTCATGTGACCCCACCCCGGAAACATGACCGAATGTGCAACCTACTCAGGCGTGCAGCTGAGGACTTCCCACTTCACTCTGCATCAAGGGCATTCTTTCTCCTCAAATCCCACCCTCATTTTATCTATTTGAAATGAATCATCGTCGGTGATGGCTTCGTCACCGGCATTGTTTACTGCCTCGCGCAGCCAGACGCTAACCTATCTATTGGCGGTGTGCCCCTTCTCCATCGCCTTCCTAGTTTTCATCAATTCATCCATCTCCTTCGTGGTAACGGATCTAATTGGACTTCATGATGGAGAGGGCGATGCTGTGGGCACTCTGGGCTTCGCGGATGAACTCCTTGCGCTAGCCGCCTGCCCACTTTGGGGTGTTCTCTCAGACCGCATTGGAATTCGACATGTAAGCCATCTACTGATTATCAACGGTGCAATGATACTGATCTTCAATCTAGGTATGTACTGCAGGCTACGCCATTGTAGCCCTCGCACTAGTCCTGTTTGTGCAGGCCACGAATATCTACCCCCAGCTTCTTCTTGGTAGGTTGCTTTTCAGCGTTGGTGGCTCGGCTGTCTCGACCATGGTCACAGCTGTCTTGCCAACTGTCACTGGCAAACCCATCAGTGCTCAGGCATATCGTGCGTCTACTTCCTCAGAGCTGACCATCACACCTGAGCGTGCCCGCAACGGTTACAACCTGAGGGAGGCCGGTAATTCCGGCGCATCCCCATCCGCTCGACTCTCGGGTTTCGTTGGAATGTGTGCTGGCTGTGGTGCGCTCGTGGCACTAGTCGTGTTCCTGCCGCTTCCAGCTCGATTTGAGAAGGCTGGGTTGACACCTTCTCAGGCAATCCAACGCAGCTATTACTTAGTCGCTGTTGTTTCCCTTGTCATTAGTCTTGTATGCTTCATCGGACTGCGTGATCTTCCAGGGGACAAGGGTAAATCCTGGAGTGCACTTTGGAAATCCCAAGACTCTTGTTATGATGAAGACGATGAAGATTCGATCTCAGATGTCCCAAGGTTGCCATATTGGAAGCAGCTAACAACTGCCCTCTTTTTGGGATTCCGAAACCGCGACATTGGCCTGGGCTACGTCGGGGGCTTTGTGGCCCGAGCCTCGTCTGTGGGGATCTCACTGTTCATCCCCCTGGCCGTTAATCACTATTATCGGGCGTCGGGTCTTTGTGATGAAGCACAACCGATACATGAGTTCGGATTGAATGATATCAAGAAAGAGTGCCCGCGTGCATATATCGTTGCCTCCATCCTAACCGGTGTATCCCAATTGGTTGCTTTGATTTCGGCCCCAGCATTCGGGTATCTGACGGATAAATCGCGTCGGTATAATTTCCCACTCCTCTTTGCCGCCTTGGTGGGAATTATCGGGTACCTAGTATTTGCCAAGCTTCCAAGCCCTCTATTCAAAGAACCCGACGGTAGCCCAGGGGTATTTGTTGTGATGGCTTTGATTGGAATCAGCCAGATCGGGGCAGTTGTTTGCAGTTTGGCAGTACTCAGCAACGGCATCCTGCGCGTCAGCACCGACGATGAAACCTTGAGAAAAATATGTGACGAGCAACGTGCCGCGGCGCGCCAGGACGCCGAGCCTGGTGAGGGCCAGCCTCTTCTGGGAGGAGCCATCAACCACCGACTGGAGCGTCTGTCGCATTTGAAAGGCTCCATTGCTGGCGTGTACTCGCTGTACGGCGGGGCAGGAATTCTGCTGCTCACCAAAGTGGGTGGGCTCTTATTTGATGTGATGTCGTCAGGTACCCCATTTTATATTATGGCTGGCTTCAATGGCGTGCTGCTTACCACGGGACTTGTATGTGGGGGGCTGAACCATTTAGGGGCGCTTGGAAGGACTCGGTGATTTTGCATAAAATATTATATTGAGGGATCCCCGCTGAGAATATAATTTCCGCCCAAGGCCGAACGGGACCGATTGTATTACACGAGGTTCGGCAAAAGTGGGTTGAAATTAAATTGGGCAAACTGGTTCATGACAGTAATTAATTTCCGGTAGATAGCGTCGCGAATTTGGGACAGCCCCAGCGTAATCTGAATCGTGCACTAAATACGCTAATGAGATAGTGTGGCTGACTGGGGAAATTAAGACAGATACGAAGTAGATACGAAGTAGATATCAATGATCTACGCATGCATTGAACCGAGAAGTACAATGTACCTCCACCTGATGCTTCCAGATCACTATGGACAACAGTCTGAATTTTCAACTGTTGATCTCATCTCGCTAGTCTCCGGCCTAATGAGGAGCATCAAACAACCTTCCTCATTAGGTACTCGACCCAGGGGTCCGTTCGGCCCCTAGTCCAGGGCGGGTTTAGCGTCGTCCTTAACATCAGAACTAAACGCCTCCAGTTCCCCGTAAACAACCGCCTTGGGGCCATTGGGGGCACTTGGTCCCCCTTTTCTCTTGCTGGCCCCGTCGAACCCCTGGGGCCTGTTCCTGGCACGTTGGAACCCGCTTGACCAATGCAGTCTCAATCTTGGCGCGCTGCATTGGGGCAACGCCTGCCAAGTCAATATGACCCCCGTTTTCGCGCACTTCTCTTCTTCTCTTTTCTTACCTTCAGGCTCCAGAAGTCCGTCTTTCACTCTTTCATTTCGTGCTTCAGTCTCTCGTTAAACTCCAGTCGTTCGTTTTGAACAGTCGCTCTCTACCGTGTACTCACATTTATCGCGCAATTCCGCCCACTTCACCAATTTTCAATATATAAATACCGCTTGAACATCATTTGCCAAAATGCGTTTCTACTCTGTCGCTCTGTTGACCGGCGCTACTGCCGTTGCTGCCGGTAACTCTGCAGACCTCCTTCTGCCCGGCTTCCAGGGCAAGGACCTCCAAGCTGGTATCATCGGCTCCGTATGTACCCCGTGATGTGTGCGCATAATGCGCTATCTGCCAACAATCGACTAACAATTCCCAGGAAGGAGATGCGACTACCTATCGCATCACCTGCCCCCAGACCGTGGCTGCCTCTGCCTGCGGTATCCCCGGCGAGGGCATGACTGCGATTGCCGCCCCGACTTCCATGCAGCTCCGCAACGTCGGCATGCAGGGAACGTAAGTACACGCGACACCACGCGCATCGCACATCGCATCCGATACTGATATCAAACAGCACTGGAACCCTGTCCTGCAACATCCAAGGCACCACCTACGCCTCTTGCCAGGCCTCCGCCGGCACCGCCACCCCCTCCGGTACTCTGGGCTCGGCCGACCTCAACTGGATGCCCGTGACCGTCACCGGTCCCTGCTCCACCAGCACCCCAACTCCCACGTCGACTCCCACCCCGACCCCGTCTAGCACCACCGCGGTCGTGACTCCCACCCAAACACCCACCTCCACCATCACCCCGAGCATGACCCCCAAGAAGTCCTCCTCGGCTCTCATCTCCACCCCGCTCGCCACTTCCACTCCCCTGGCTGCCCCCACCAGCGACGCAGCCATCTCCGGAACTGGCGCGCCCTCCGCTTCCCCCTCGGCTTTCAACGCCGCCGGCCAGCTCGGAGGAAACCTCTGGACCGTTGGGGGTGCCGTTCTGGCCCTGGCTTGCGCTTTCATCTAAAGCAAGGCATACATCTAATCTGATTTGATGTATTCCAAACCGGCTGTTGTGTTGGTTGTGTGAAGTACGAGCCTTGTGCTCGGTTTTAATTATTCCGGGGTTTCTGTTTCTTCCGTTGTTTCGTTCGGATGTAATCATGTATCCCACATATATGTGCCCATCTACTATTCCTTAATGTTTGATACCTTTCTCCACGACAGACTACGATCTAGCGTCTTCTTTTCATACGTGTATCTTCAGTCCTTGAATATACCATTTTCTGTCCCTTCAGTACTCATCCAGGGATTGCGATATGACATTCTTTGTGTCTCCGTAATCTACATGTATCCCGCAGAAAGACATGTGGAGTCGCTTTGATCCGTAGGTCATTTCTGGGTCCAAGCTGTCAATGGTAACCCTATTGATCGCGTAGCATGCAGCGCAAAGCGCGTCGCTGCAAGGGCGTCACGTCCAATTAGGGCTAATTGATATCGACGCCTTGACCACGTCTTGGCATCGCATCAAAAGTACAAAAGTGGATGTATCACATATCAAACAAAGAGAACTATCTTTGCCTTGGGAATGTATCCCAGCTAGTCTCTCAAATATGCTCTCCCTAAGAGCCATCTCCTACTATGTTGGGACGACTTCCAAGGTTACTGCATGTAGATGGCTAATAAAATCCATTATTATTAACATTCAAGCCATAGAATTAGCCACCCTCTAGAAGAGGAAAAGAGACATTAAACCCGAATAGCAAAAAAACAACACATCCGTAGAAAATCTTCATCTATCTCTGATTCAGATCCAGATCCAGTGCAGCCACCTAGAAATCCCATGAAAACGAAAAACGATTACAATACAACCAACCCCAAAACGCAAGGACAGAAAAGTACGAGTAAAGAACGTAAGTCGTGGATCTCATGAAAGTCATCCAAATCACCCAACCCCGATCCGCATTGTACAACTACAGAAAAATGCCCCAAGATTACTTGTATCGTGTCTCTTCAGTTCAGATCGATCTCTCACTTTGAGGACATAGCCAAAGGCTCCTGGGGCGGCATTTCTGCATCGGGGAATCTATCCGTCAACTTAACCATGAGAGGAGGCTTTTCCCAGAGGAAGTAAACTTTCTGATCAGGCCAGTTGGTGCTCTCGGGCGAGAGAGCGATGTCGAAGTTGAACAGTAGTTTGCAGAGAATCAGGCGGATTTCGCAGTAGGCGAGGCTGGATCGTGGGAGATGGGGTTTAGTATATTCCGTGTATTGAATGGCGGGTTTCCAGTTATTGGACTGAAACTCACTTTCTTCCAAGGCATACCCGGGGTCCGAGGCTGAATGGCTGTAGGACGTCTTTCTGGTCATTTTCGAAGACTGAGTCGGTTCCTAGCCAGCGCTCTGGCATGAATCGGTTTGGCAATGCGAAGTTTGATCCCGAGTGGTATGAGGCGTAGTGGTGGCAGGATACGATTGTCTGATTTGGATTAGTGACTGGCATTCTGAATAGAAAGCTTTTATACAGTGCGTACCCCCTCTGCCACTAATTGGCCGTTGATGACTGCTCCGCCCTGTGGAACAACCCGTGCTAGGCTGGTCACGAAAGGCGGATACATGCGCAGGGACTCCTCGATGACAGCTGCCAGGTAGGTCAGGCCGATCATGCCGCGGAAAGTAATGTCATTTTCTTTCTTGAAGACGGTCCGGATTTCACAAACGAGCTGGCTCATGATGTTTGGGTAGGTACACAGGAAGAAGATGCAACCGGACAACAGAGTTGCAGAGGTCTCGCTGCCTGCCACAATTAGACTGTTTAATTAGCATACTATTCATCTTGCATAGACCTTTTGCATAGACCGAGAGAAGAATGATCAAATGAGACCCAGAATGCAACCCACATAAACCCATTCGAATGAATCTCAGCTCTAGTCATTATCCGCTTGCTCTCCCGATACTGGCCCACATCCTCGCTAAGTCCATTCTGAAGAATGGCTGACATGAAATCCGGACGAGCCATATTAGTTTCCAAACGACGATCAACCTTCTGGGCAGTCATATCAAAGTGCTCCTGGCCCTTCCGCTTGGCCTCAGCAGGAACCAACAGACCCAAGGCCCCCTTAATCAAAGGAAACTGGTTGGCAACTCCATGAAAAGCAATGACTTTCATAGAATCGAAAATCAACCGGATCCAAGGGTGAAGCTGGCTATCCTTCAGGCAGTCGAAAGACTCACCGAACATCAGGTCACCAGTAATGTCAAAAGTGGTAAAGTTCATCCAGGACTTGATATCAACGAGCGAATCCCCATGCTTGACACGCAACCGCAGTTTGTTGATCAGTGTATCGACATAGCCTCTGATTAAACCCTCCTGATCTCTCAGCGCTTTCTCAGAAAAGGCATGAGCCAGCAACCGTCTCTGTCGTGCGTGGGTTGAATTGTCGACGGCACATACTAGATGGTCAACACCATTGGCAGGCTTAATGTAATGACTCCGATCTTTCTGAAAACAACCACCGGGTCTGTTGCCATAGATATCACGGAAACTCTGGGGCGTATTGAAAGCAAGCTCATCCGGGGAAATTCGAATAGCCGGGCCATACCGGTCATGCAGAGCCAAGATATCCAGATGATTGTAGCCACGCAGAACTGAGACGTTCAAGGGGATGCGCGAGATAGCCCATAGCTTCGGACCGGGGAAATGATGCAGCGGAGAAAGCCAGAAAGCGTAGATGATGCTGTACGAGACCCAGAGCAAGAACTGTGGGATTGCAGATGATTAGCGTGGCACACGGCGAGACCAGACAAGACAACCGGGAACTCAGATGCCTGAGACGAGGTAAGATGAGCTGCTGTGTGTCGGGTGGAATGGGAAAAGGGCAAGGGCTTTGATGTAGGGGTCCTGCAGCCTGCAACGAACGAGGGAGTACGGGTAATGCAATACCGCAGCTTACCAGGAATCCTGCAGCCGAGCCCCAGATGCGAGCCTCCAAAGCTGCCCACGACAAGATGATCGTGAGATATGAGGTGAGGGAGGACCACAGGGACAGTGTCAATGTCATACATGCCCCGGAAGCCATGTTATTACGAAGATCGGGACCTCCGGTTCTTGGAAGAGAGTAAAGAAGGGATCTGCAAAGGGAACGATTGGATGCCAAGCTAAGACAAAGAAACCGAAGTTGCACCAAGTGCAGGGGTGGTGAGGTGTTAGAGAGAGAGAGAGGAGCGGGGCCAACGGAAAGTGGCAGACAAGGAAGCAGTCACACAACATCTGATATTCTCTTTTACCACAATTTGATCTTTGATCTCTAATACTCCGAACGCCTTCGGGAACCCTGGTCCAGTTCTCGACTCACCCTAGTAGTTTGGCTTCCGACCAAAGACGACATGCATATAGCAATATGAGTGGACGGCGGGATTCTTGATATCTCTACGCACGCCTGCCAGGAACACTTGGGTATCCTCGTTAGACCATCCTAGTACTCGAGTAAACAGTGCCAGTGAGTAGGATTCCACTGCCATCAGAAGAGAGCACTGGTTGTATCGGCCGATCTCCTTTTGCACAGGATCCTCAGCCCAAGGACTAGAGATGACCTACGAAACAGTTAACAATCATCCAGCACAGAAGCCTATGCCCAGAGAGAAGAAGGGTCACACCTTGTACACATCATCCCTCACATCTTGAAAACCAGCCTCAATCAACCGCTGCCGATGACCCTCCGCGATGTTCATAGGACGACCAAACGCCTCGCTGGCCGAATGCAAACGTCCGATAAAATCACACAACGTCGGCGCAAGACGCATTGAATCATCATCCGCTCTAAGCGTAACCTCAAACTCCTGCAACTCAAGCCAACCCCCAGGCCGGAGATTCTCGTAACTCTGCCGGATCAAACGCGGCCAGTCGGTGATAGCACCGCCGAGATCGCGGGCATGGATGAAGTCAAAGGGCCGGTTGCGACTGTACAGCCAGGACGATTCGGCGTCGTCTACGATGAATCGCAAGTTGGGCGGGACCCATGAGGGCTGGATGGGACTCAAATCGGTGCCTATTACCTCGGCGCTGGGGAAGCTGTCTGCATAATCGATGGCCCAGATGCCTGTGCCGGTGCCAACGTCCAGGACTCGTTGTATGTTGTCTCCCAGTGGGGCTCGGTAGAGTTGGCCATTGAGCACCAGGTTTCGGACGTGGTGGAGCAGGTCTTGTCGATCTTGTTCTTGCTCATCGTTTGGGAGCACGTAGTGTCCTTCCCGGTAGGAGTGGTATCGTCGTCCATTTTCGTATCTGTAGTTTTGAACATTTGAGAGGAGAGATGCGGTGTAGCTAGAGCTGTCGGAATACTGATCAAATACTGATGCATCGTCGCTTGATGCCAAAGAGGAAGTATCATCAGTTTCTCCGTTGAGTGCATCTGGGTGGTCTGCCATGATGGAAGGGACTATTGGGGGGATAGTCGAAGCGGGATGAGAAGTCGAAGAAGTCGAAGAAGACGAGGAAGACGAGGCCTCACGAACAATGGAAGAACTTGGCGGATAGGCCCATCCCATAGTCCCGTCGAACCGGTCTGTTGGTATAGACGTTGGCCTTGGCGCAGATTCCTCTGTCTCCTCTTGAATCGGGGCTAACTGCGATTCTATGTGTTTTTTCAAGCCTCCTTCATATCTATCTGGTTCTCGAGTATCCACAGACTCCCTAATCATTGATTTTACAACTCTCAATGTAGGCGACAATCGTGCAGTAGCCCTCGAAGACTCTTCCATTGCTGCATCTGTCTCGGCGAATGTCCGCTTCGAAGGTACACAAGCCGGCGGGACAGGGAATGTGTCAGGAATGCTTGGTATTAAAACTAGAGTCGACTGTGGCACGTTTTCAGGCCGCGGAGGAGGCCTCATACACGTTGATATCGAATCCCCAGGGTCGTTATATCCGGAGAGTATAGTCGAAATCGAAGGCAACGTCAAGTCCACGCTCCAGTCAATCTCCCGCCCTAGATCGTCAGAGCACAGAGGATAGACGCACAGGCATAGCATGTCGAGAAACCGGTCTTGCGACAGAGGCTAGATATTGAATCAGATTAAGAGATATAAACGATGAACTAGGATGTGCGGTGAGATGGACATTAAAATATCAAGACAGAGGAAGCCCCCCTCCCCTTGCGGGGCTTTTAGTAATTAGGGTATTACAAGGATTCAAGGGAAGATGCGCCGGAGTATATGGCCGCTTTGGTGCTTGATTGACGTTGTTTAGTCTGCAGGAGCCCGTTGAGCCCTAATTTTGCTCCCCGTTGATCTGGGCATTCTCTACCCCCTTCTTCAACCTGCCATGACTATCCTGTTGTTTGGTCACTCCGAGTATATGTACATAGATCCTTTTTAAAAGCGTGATACTGCCCAGGTGATTGTGTTGCACGGCATCGGATTCTTGGATCGGATTGGATCGGTGGGATTGATATCCTGTCGAGGGTCGGACAAGGTGGGAATATGATGTTTCCAGCTAGCACCCGGTGACCTTTTGAAAGGAGTTCGTGGGCTGTTTCATACTGGTCATGGAGGGCCGTTATTGGTGGATGTTCTGATTTAGGGAACATCTACATTCAGGGACACCGCATATTTGAGAGGTCCTATTTCTGTGTTTTCTAAGCCAATTGTGATTGCAGCTGGGCATCGGGGTATTATCTCATTGATCATCATTCATGCGCCCGGATCGCCTCGATTTAATCGCGAGCTCGGTCTTGTCATCAGCCGAGCAAACCACCCCGGGCAAACTTTCCACTCTTCAAGGTCTGTCCTGTTCTTTCCCTCTTTTCTCCGGGAACGGCTCCCACCTCTAATCCTGCTTGGAGGAAAGCGGCACGCATCATTCGCCAATGAGCCTCTTGGTTGAATTCTTGCAGGCTTTGAAGAGTAGTTCGCTGGACTTCTGTCCGAGCATCGACTTGGTTCGACACGAGCAATCCCTTCTCGAGGTCAATACGGGCGTCCAGCACACCCTCCTGAATTAGCGTAATCAACTCCTGCACAAATGGCGATGAGAGGCCAGCAGGCCGTGCTTCGCCGCCAATGACTTCCGGTGCGAAGATCTTCGCCATCGATTCGAGACTGACGCTGCTGAAAGGTACCATATACTGCTTGATAGACTTAGTGCGGATGCGCTTGTACAATGTTTCGAGATAGGGCTGAAGATGAAGGTCGAGAAGGTAGTCAGAGCGGTAGGCTTCCAGGATGTCAAGGCAGGGACGGAACTTGAAGTTGCAGAAGAAAGCGATGGCGCGGCGTATGTGAGGTTCAAGTTCGAGGAAGTTGCGGAAAGAGGTGTTGTCAAGAACGTTACGCTGTAGCTCTTCGCGGGTCATGGTTGCAAGAGACAGTATGCCACCGTACACAGCAACATCATTGGGGGTAATGAGTTCATTGTAGTTGTCGCCGAGGTCTGGCTGGATAGTCAAGAAAACGTTGGCTGCTTCGAGGAAGGCCTGTTGACGCATTTGTGAGAGTGCATAGGCTGCGGAAATCTTGGATTCATTTTTGGCTGCGTCCTCTGGTTTCGATTGAGAGTTGCGCAAGCGTGACACGCTTGACTGCATGGAAACCCAGTCTCCACGTTCAGCGGCAACATTGACCATCTTGAAGAGCATAGACGTGATGTGGTTTGGTGCCGTGCAATAGTCTCTCATACGAGCGTAAGCCTTGGTTGCGGCGGGCAAGTCTCCCGTCTGGTGATAGTGATTTCCTAGGTCTTCATTGCCCATCTGTAGAGATCAGCATCACATTCCCGCCGGAATCCATTTCCATGCCTTACCCGAATGCTCTCCTTGATCAAGTTATTTTTGTATCCCCTCAGTTCATGTTCCAGTCGCTCAGTCTGTGTCCTCACGTATCGCTGGGTGCTCTGAATCCAGGCGTTGTCAAGCGAAGCGGAGGGGTCAGTTGGCGCAACCTCCGCCAACGCGCGGACGGCCTTCTCGTAACGCGAAACATCCTTGCTAGACTTGGCTTCGGCGATGGCAGCCTTGAGGGCATCGATGGACAGCACGGTGGAGCACGTGCCTATGAGGTAGAGACGGTCGTAGCGGGTGCGCCCTGGCGAAATGTTAGAAGGATCGACTTTGAACAGAGGGTATTCCTAACCGGAGTAGTTTGAGATGTATGTTTCTAGGTCAAATTTCGGTGCATCTGAGAGATCCAGTGGTCAGCGTCACCTAAACACAGCGGCTTGGTCGCCGGGACAGCCGCCCCGCGGGGTTCCACATACCGTCAACCTTCACACGCAGCGCAGATTGACCAGCAGCAGAAGAGGCACGAGCGTTAGAATCTGCAGCAGCAACCGAAGCTAAGGCATCGGCCTGGGACCGACCAGAGGCATCGGGGAACGAGGTGTCCATCTTGGCTCAACTGTTTAGACGACACCGCTGAGCCAGGTTAATACCGATGGGGATTAAAATGCTTCGAGGCCTGGTGTAAATCGAATGGAGTGAGCACCAAGGAGAGAGAATAGCAAAGATTCGGAACGCTAATAGCACGAGGTAAGGTATGTCTAGAGAAGATGAGGTGCAAGTCGATCATGATCGTTTACTGGCAGTACTCTGCCGCCCACATCACCGCCCGTTGACCGCCTCCGTCCCCTCCGATGCCTCCAAAGGTACGTGTATGGAGTAAAAAGAGAGTAAAGGGCATAACCTAGGTGACAATTTCTCTTGAGGGATCCCATTTGATTATCAGATCAAAGTTCTGCACATGTATACAATCCTATATGTTGATTTCTGCCTGAGGCGCAACTCCCGAGGCTCCTCGGCCTCGGGACATTGAGTAATCAAGAAATTAAGCATCAAGTCATCCTATGAGCTCGTAGAATTCAGAATATCTTGATTATAATCCCGGCCATTGCCGAAGATCGCCTAAACATATAGTTCGCCCAGTCTCAGCCCCGAGGTACTGTCGTCGGACACAATATATAACGAGTATAATCCGGGGTAACGCCAGTCCACCTCCACCAAACTCAATACAACAGTACAGGCTACCTACCCTAGTCTAGACATCCAAAATGTCCTCCTCACAGCAAGTCGCCCTCATAATGGGCGCCTCACGCGGCATCGGCCGCCAAATCGCCATCGACCTAGCAAAGAATGGCTACTCGGGTACACCTACATCTACTCCATCCCAACTCCAGCAATACAGAACAACTAACAAAACCCAGTAATGCTGGCGGCGAAAACCACATCAGACGCATCAAGCGTGGTCCCCTTCCCCCCAGACCCAAACTCCTCAAAGTCAACAATTAACACCGTAGAGCGGGAAATCCGCGAAGCGGGCGGCCGCGCCGCAACCGTTGCCGTTGATGTACGCGACGCCGAACAGATTCAACATGCCGTTGAAGAGACAGTCCGCGTATTCGGCAAGCTAGACGTCCTGGTGTATAACTCTGGGGCGATCTGGTGGTCGTCTGTGGAGAACACGCCTCTTAAGCGGTTCCGACTTATGCAGCAGGTTAATCCAGAGGGGCTATATGCCACTGTTCAGGCTGCCTTGCCTTTCTTTGAGAAGAATGGGTGGAATGGAAGGGTTGTTGTTGTTTCGCCGCCTATCTATTCGAGGTTCTTCCGGGGAAAGACGGCTTATGCTATGGGTGAGTTTATTATCGGTCATTCATTACGCGAATGAATTGGTTCTGATATTGCTTAATTTAGGCAAGGTCGGAATGAGCGTTTTGGTCAAAGGTCTGGCCATGGATTTTGTTCGTCAAGGCCGGAATGAAATGGCGGTGACGAGTATCTGGCCTGCATCGGTATGTATCTTGATTCTGGACTGCTTGGATTATGTGAGGGATATTGCTGACTGCGTTTATTTGTCTAGTCTATTGAGTCGGCAGCTACGGAGCATAACAAGGCAGCTGATCAATCCTACAAGAAGGATTTGAGAAAGCCTGTATGTGTGCAATCTATTTTATCAATTTGCGTGATTACTGACCTGCTACAATAGGCCATTTTCTCCGATGCTATATTGGCTATGCTCCGCGCCCCACATAGTGTAGTCAATGGGCTTTTGGACACAGACGAGGACTTCCTTCGTGAAAAGTGCGGTGTTTCTGACTTTTCCAAATACTCTGTGGTCCCCGGGTCCACGCCGCGGCGGATCATGCCGGTTAAGTTCCCGGTCTTGGAGGTTGCAGAGCAGGATGATGAAGGGCAGCGGATGGATAGTACCAAATTGAGAGCGAAGATATAGATTGGTGGTAGGCTGTCAATACAAAGAACAATAAGTAATGATATTATCAATACATGAAATGCCTTGTGCTGCCACATAATCTAGGCCGTGAAATTAATTTTAATAAGAGCAACAAATGAATAAATGAATGTCCATGCACGAGTAGCTCCACAAAACCACAAAAACAGACAAACGCTCAATGCAAATGCAATCAAAAAATGCAAATGAAAGCCAAGAGAGAATCCAATATAGAAATTCCAAGACGGACAGTAAAAACGCCATATCCAGTGTCATAAGTAGATAATTCCCCGATAGGCCGCCGAAAACCCTAGAGAGTTTCCCACTCTACAGCATGGAAGCAAAACCAGCGGTAAAAACACCGACAACAGCACAGAGCCCATAGACATGACTCATATCAATAGAGAACATACGCGGCGCAGCACCAGTCGACCCATTGACAAGAGTACTAACCGGTGTCTCTGTAGCTGTAGCAGTCGCGGTAGCAGATGCAGTCGTAGTAGTCAAATTGTAATGCTTAGGGGCCCGAGCTCCGCAGGGGTTGTTTGATCGACAGTCAGATTGGCAGTTGGAGTCGCCATTGCAGCTGGTGACGCATTGGTTGTTGTGCTCTGTGCAGGTGTAGTAGGGAATTGTCTGGGAGTATTCGGTGGCGTTGGGGGAGACGCCATTACTGCAGACGCAGTTGTAGTCTAGTGTTGCCTAAAAGTTTATTAGAAGATATTTCGGGATTTGGTGTTATTGGTATGTGGTTCACTTACTGCATCGCAGGTGTTCGAAGTGGGAGATCCTGATGCACCGGGTAGTTGTAGGCAGAGGAGGGGACAGGAGGAGGTTTGGGAGCCGCACCAAGCCTCTGTAGAATATGTATTAGCTTTGTATTTTGCATAGAGAGATGGGGTGAGGTATTGACATACGGCGGGTTGCATAGGGAACCGAGGTTGGGTCAATGGTAATGTTAGACTGGCAGCTTGCCAGTGAGGCAGCCGACGCGAGAACCAGAAGTGTCTTGGACAGCATATTGAGCGACGCGATATATGATCTAGAGACAGGACTTGACAGCGGGAAGCCACTTAATTTTAATATTAGCAATTTAGCTCTGAGGACTTCCGGCCAACGTTGTATACTCCTTTAAATAGAGATATAGAGGCCCGGTGATAGGTAGTGGAATGAAGGGGCACGGGGTATATTGGAACAGGAGGGGACTTACCAAGGTCAAATTCCTGGACTTCTCGAAGAACAAGCAGGGGAATGGAAGCCAACACAGGAGAATGTTAGGAGTCAACAACAATGGCGACTGGCAGCAACGAAGATGTAGACTGAGAAGGAGAGAGAAAAAAGTAACGAGCAAGGAGGAAACAGAGTTCATAAAGGAAAAAGCAAATGATCACCGGACTATTTATGCCTATGTATAGAATATCTACTAGTTAGTTTGCCTGGTGGGACGGGCTAGTGCCTTTTCCGGTTCTACCGCATTGAACTGTTCTTTCTTTCTGCATGCCCAAGATATGATTCCTGTATGCATTTGGTAATGTGAGACAGCTGGCATTTAAAGCCTTGGAAGCGAGGCTTGGACATCGAGGGCGACATTCCAGGGAGGTTTTTCTGAGACCTGTCAATCCGGGGATATCGGCAGTTTCTCTATCAAAGGACGTTTTGCCAGCTCATGGTGCCACCTGTCATTCGGTTGCCGACCGGTCTCCACTGCAAGAAGTGTAGTGTAAGACATCACAGTGCCTTGAAGAGATAAGTGTGTCTCAGTGCTCTGCATCTCAAAAACGCCGATCAGCGACGCTTACCGGGTTGGGGTTAGTGTCCTTTGCTTTGGGGGGAGGGAGTTAACTCTTTGACAGCTACAGCAAAGATAGATCTTGTTTCTGGCCAGAATGGAAAGTAGATTGACTATGATGCGAGGCCCATTTGTAATGTTCTTTGAAAAGAACAGTATTTGATTCTCGAGCATTTTCTACTTAGATAAGCTAAATCAGGCCCCGTGACCACCCTGTCTTACTCCAATTGACTTTCATCGTTCTCCAACTCCAAAGTACTTCGTCTTTGCCTCTGACTCGCCACTGATATCGTGACATCGTGCAGGTCTGTACTACCTCGGATCGTTTCCATCGCTTATCCCCGGTCCTTGCATCACATCCCCACGCCCCAAGGTCCAAAATGGGCGACGTCTCCCCCACCACTCATTCTACACTGCATTGTATACTTCCACCCCGCATGGGGGTCAAAGTCCCGGCTGAGCCACATCCTCCACTTCAAGCACTCAAAGCCGAGCCTTTACACCAAGCGCGTGATGGGAAAACACCGAGCTAACCCCGGATGAAGCTCCAACTAACAGGACACGACCACGACCACAACCAACCCCGACCTGACCCAACATCTAATGGATGGAGCCAGCTCCTGAGGAGGCCGGACAGGCAGCTGAGCGGCAGCTGCAGCCGCAGCTCTCCTCCCCATCCCGAACGCGATCCCGATCATCCTCCCGATCCAAATCCCCACTTCCAGATCCCCAACCCTTCCCCGCACTCGGACCAGACACCATTTCGATCTCCTCAATCCAGAGTGATACAACACCAAACACCCACAATGACCCTCCTTATCCGGATCCGGACCCAAACCCAGAGAGCGCCGCATCCTCTACTCGTTCCCGCCCCGTGTCGGGCGTAGTACCGCCATACTGGTGCCGACATGAGCGCAATGCCTCTCACGTCTCGCAGTCATCTCTAAGCCGCGGTGTCCCGATTACTCTCGAGGACCATGCCGCAGACCCGAACTCGGAGACGAGTCGGGGGCTTTGGGCACGCAGCGTTTCTATTGATGATCATGTCGTTGTGCAGGGCATGACTGGCGTGGGGTCGTATGTTGTTTGGAATTGTACGATTTATACACTTGATGTGAGTTTTAACCATTGGGAAGGGGTTAATTGATTGTATTGGAATTGGAACTGGAATCTGATATGTGTGTTGCTCGTCCAGGGTGCTCCAATCGTTGTTCGCATGAGGTATGGTCAGCCCCCGTTTCATCTCCATATGGCGCAAGGCATCTAGCTCACAGCCTCTCTTTTTAGATACTCCGAGTTCGATGATTTGCGCCAGCGGCTAGTTGCTTCATTCCCGCACGCTCGAAACGCATTACCCGCGCTACCCCCGAAGAGCGTTCTCTGTATGTGTATCATCCTCCTGGTCGTCTTTTTGTCAATTTTTCAATTAGCAAGGCCATGACATGAGGTGATGTTGAACACGCTAATACTTCTAACAGTCAAATTCCGCCCCAAATTCTTGGAATCACGGCGTGTTGGCCTCGAATATTTCCTCAAGTGAGTTATCCGCTCCAATCATCTCTTCCACACCCAACTCCAGTTCTGACCTCGCACCAGCTGTGTCCTTCTCAACCCGGAGTTCTCAGGGTCCCCAATTGTCAAAGACTTCCTCTTTGGCCGTATATGTTAATCAATATTCCTCTTGCATCACTGGGGCTGCATTTGCATGAAACTGTACACCATCTTGAACACAACATTGATTTATGCTACTATTGGCTTCAGCTGTGGCACTACAAATCCTCAATTCCTTGATTAACACCCTATCCCTAATTATGGACCCAATACAGGGTCTATTCTATTACTCGAACTAGTTCGATTTACTAAATTGATAACTCAGTAGCAGAATTATCCAAAACAGGAATGAGGAGTACCGCCGGCACAATGATAGAAAAGCCAATAGGAGCATGGATCCAAATTAATGGCGCTTTCAAAGCACCACTAAGTAATAGTATTGAGCTATTAGAACAAGACAAGACAAGAAATGAAAAGACAACACGCTTTGAGTATGATACAGTCCCCAAATTCTTTACAGGTAAAGCCACGACCAGGCCAAAACCAGGGGAAAAGAAGAAAAGCAGGATATGAAAGCCAGATCTTTCATCACCTACTCTCAACCAAAGGGATGGGTCTATCCAACACCATCGATTTCCCCATTCCATCCTTCCAAATTCGAGTCTGGCTCTGGTCCAGATCCTGATCCTGGTCCTTGGTTTGATTCTGACTCTGCTGATCCTGCGCTCCCTCAACCGCAGCAGTCTTTTCACCCCTGTGAGCCCACCCCCTCACATCCGCCCAGAAGATCTTCCGCCAGCTAATATTAGCCATATGCGTCATAGCAAGCAAATGCCGTGGTCCAGGGATCCCAGAAGGAAAAACAAGATAAAGACCCGAATCCTGCGTAGGATCTGGACGGAATTTATCATGGTATGCCTTCTTCCCCCCAATCGGCAACCGATGGAAAGCATGGCCATACAAGTCTCGAGTGAGATGAGCAAACGGACCAGGGATACCGCTCACATCATCACGCGTCAAGGCATGCAGAGGCTCGAAGCCGAATCCGAGATAGGACACACCAGCACGGTTGAGGAGAGCCATTGCAGCTACGAGGAGTAGATCGCTGATTCCCTTTGCGCTGCCTGGAGCCGCGATGCAGGGGTCGACGTGGTACCCTCCTGAGCCGAGATGGCGGAGGGCTGCGAAGCCGTTAACATGTCCGTCTGCGCCGCGGGTGTATACGAATGTCATTAAGGCTGGGAGGGCGAAGGGATCGTAGACTGTTATGAATGCCTGCGGGCTTGGGGAGCTGTTTCGCTCTGCGCGCCATGCATCGTAGATGGCTATGAGGTCTGTTTGGAGTTGTGGGACTGTGCCATGGACGGCAGGTGCGTAGACGTCGAGGGTGATGTTGCCTTTTGCTTTATTGAGGAGCTGGCGGTTTTGTGTTGTTATGCGTTTCCCACTTGTCTCAAGGAGGACCTCGTTGTTCTGTGGGTTGAGGACGCGCTCGGTACCGAATCGGATTGTCGTCCAGCCTTCTCGTTGGGCGTACTCTCTTGTGAAGGTCTCGCTTGCGCCCATGAATGCCATGCCCCAGTGATGTCTTTTGCGGTATTCTGCGAATTCGAATAGCAATTCTGGGATTGCGGCTGTGTCGCATAATGGGTCTCCGCCGACGACTGCCACGCCATTTTGTACTTTGAAGGATATTGCTGCTGTTCTTGATTGGTTCACGAAGAATCGGTAGCTGCGGTCGAGGATGCCCATGTGTGCTACTCGGCCGTGGTATGCGGCTAGTCGCTCGATGGCTGTCATTGTGGTGAAGTCGTCAAGACTGAACACGTCTGCTTGGTTTGAGTGACTTTTCTTCGAGGGAGGAGGTTTGGTTTTGGGATCTGGGAGGTCGAAGGGTGCTTCGAGCGAGTGAGTGACTTGCGGTGATTCGTTGCTGTCTACGCTCGTTGCCGGGGTCGAAACTGAGTCGCCCATCGTGCGAGTACTGTAGCTCGCTGAGCTGGCACAGGATGAAGCCGTCAGGGCAGCTGCGAGGTTATTGCGTAGATGGTCAGCGACAGAGACGAAGGATGTATCGCGGCTGTCATTGAGATGTCCATTGTGTCGAGGATTTGCGTAGAGTTGGTCGACCAAGGCGTCACCAATCTCGTCTAGGAAGAGGCTCTTCTTAGGCTTTGGCCCGCTAATGTCCAGTGTAGCCTTTCGACCACGTCGTGAGCGCTTCTTCTTGCCCGTAGAGTTGGGTATAGATTCACGAGAATCCACAGCGGAGACCATGGTGGTCGGTAATGTAGGTGGGAGCAGAGTGAAGTCGAGTCAAAGTTTGAGAGAAAGAACAGTGACACCCTCCTTCCCTGGAGTATCTAATGTATCGCTGTTTGCTACCATGGCTGCTTTAGGGCTACCAAGGGGTACCCAGGGATATACAACTGTATTGGTACCAGGTACCATCAGCCGTGGGTCTTACAGTAAGCAAACAAGGAACATCGGAGAAAAGAAAGTCAATTACACATGCAAAACGCTGGTGCCTGGGTGAGATATACAATTTAGCCTCATAGACAAGCCTCGTCAGGTTTCTTGGCAGCGGTCAGGGTCCATGAAGATCGACAGTGGAAAGTCTAAAATATTACTAGAATACTGCGTTGCCTGATGCTCGCAATCCGCGGACCCCGGTCATTGTCAGGCTCCGACATCTATTCATAGACATGTAATCATCCGAGGCGTGTTTACTTCCATCTGCTCGGATATGTCCGCACCAATACAGTACATCAGGTGGAATTATCTAACGTTACATCTACTGTACATGTAGAGTACGGCAGCCTAAAACACGAAAACATGGTATAGTGTCTAGCCCATCGGCTCAAAATACGAGTCCTTCGTCTCTTATGATACTAACCATTATTTTAGAACACCTACCGGCTCTATGGAAATTGAAACGTCGCTAAACACTACTATCATGGGAAACACATGATTAAAGTAATTTCGTTGACAAAACGCTAGGTATATTGTACAAGTCAACCTATTACACTTAGACAGTGTCGGAGACAAGAACCAACGTGCGTATGTCCACTCAGGATAATTCTTCAAGACGGCCTCCGGAGACACACTTCTCCTAGCTGGTAAGCTGTTTCTCTTTCGGGACCCGAGAATTTCTCACTCAGCTCAGTAGCTTAGTTGGATGGGCCAGATCCGGTGAAATTGTAAATGTCCCGCTTGGAGCCGGTGCCGGTCGGCTTGACGTCGAGCTTGTTGTCGTCGCCGGCCTCCTTGACTTCTGCCTGCTTCTTCTTGCCGGCCTTCTTCTTCTTCTCGACCCGCATCTTCTCCGCCTTCTTCTGATCGGCAATCCTCTGATCAAGAATAGCATTCATAACATCAGCCATGTGCTTGTCCTCAGCCTCCTTCTTCTCGTCCTCGTGACGCGTCTTCAGAATGATGTCCATCAAATCAGACTTCTTCTTCTCCCTGCCATGGCGCTTCTTCACGGCGTTGTTTTCGTCGACAACCTTCTTCTCATCCGCAATCCGCTTTCTCTCAGTCTTGATGTGCTTCAGCACAAGCTCCTCCTTCTCTTCGTCATCAATAATCTTGAGAGACTCCCGGAGGGTCTCTTCATCCATCCACTCCATTCGCTGCACAGCAATTCTGAAAGCGACGTCGATCGCCTCATTCTCCAACTCGTTCTTGGCCGCCTTCTCATCGATCAGGATTTTGTTTCGGACAGCCTTCTTGAACTTCTCCTTCTTCTCATCCTCAGTGAGTTCCTCAGTAGACCACTCCTTGGACTCATCATTCCCTTCTTCAGCGGAGTCCTCAACAGGGGCATCGTTCATCTTTCTCAGATCGGCAAGCAGCTTAGTCTGCCGGGCGAGCAGGCTTTCAGCCAGACTGACAACTCTGTCGGCAACGTCCCGGACAGCACCAATCTCGCCCATGATGCGCTCATCGCGAACACCGCAGATGTAGTCCTAGACAAGATGATCGTTAGCAAAATACCATTACCAACAGAACCGTGTTAGAACTGACCATGTAGCGAATCCACTGCTCTCCAACGGTAGGATCGGCGGTCTGGGGCTGGTAAGGGTGGTACTCGCGCATAACATCGCAAACAAGGCAGCGGGTCTGCAGGTAGTTTTGGCTGGAAGGTCCAGGTCCGGGGCCAGCATCGTCGGCAATGGTGTCGGAGATGTGGAGGCCGTGAGGACAGAGAAAGGCGGTTCTGTTGTTCGGCATCGGAAACTGGACAGGCTTGGGGGTATCCGCATCGTCCACTCCCTTTCCCTTATTCATGTCGAGCTTGTTTTCTTTATTCATTTTGCTGGTGTTGCTGGTGGTAGCAGGGTAAACAATGGGGGACATGGTGGGGGTGAAGGGGAGCGGGAAATGCATCGACTGGGGCCTCTTTCCATTTTTGTCCCGGTCCTTGTCCTTGCCGGTATCAAAAAGAATGCCACCAGGAGGAAGTTGGGAAGACATAGTGACAGAATCGGAAGGTGGAATGGATGAGTTGGGCTGAGAGATGATGGGGGTGGGAAAGAAGAAAGGGAGAAATTGGGGAAATAAGAGATAATCAATCAACCCAAGAAGAGAGCTTCTCTCCCAGAAAGGAGAGGGAAACAACATTTTGTGGAGAATAGAAGGCTAAGTTGTCTTGTTTCAATTTTGATCAATTCAACTCTTGTTGTTTTCTTCTCTATACTCTGTCTTGGCACATTCAACCAAAATAAGACTAGCGTGGTCCCTAGCGTGGTCCCGCAGACATGCATCAGACAACACTTGAAGCCTACCTGACCACGTCTAGTCTGACAATATTCTGCATTTTTGTTGTGCGTTTCTCCATTAGCTCAAAAATCATGATCAGACCACGTGAAGCTACCGTTGCGGATATTCCCCAGATCCGGGATATCAATCACTATTACATTGTCAACACGTCGCTGACATTCGCAACGACCCCGCCACCCATTTTTGAATATGAAGACAGACTGAGGGATCTAAAGAGACGAAGACTCCCATTCCTGGTGCTAGCGTCGGACCAAAGGAAGACGCATGATGGTGCCGACCTCGTCCTCGGCTATGCTTATTTGTCACCGTTCCGCGGGCACTTGCTTGCATATGCGCCTACTGTGGAGCTTTCAATCTTTATGCATCCTGACGAGAGGGATCATGGGCTTGGTACTATCCTCTTGGAGGCAATCATGAATATGGTCCGTGACGGCCAGGTGGAGCACCGGTGTGAAGAACGAGTTGGTGACATTGGGAGTCTGGTGCCTGGTGGCTCTATTGGCGTATCTACAGATGCTCGAGTCCGGAATGTCATCGCTGTAGTGGCCATTGATCCTGATACTTATATGAATGGAGAGGGATTGCGGACTTGGTACACTCAGCGGGGGTTTGTCGAAAAGGGACGGCTTGATAGCGTTGGCGAGAAGAATGGGAAGTGGTGAGTTGCTCATCCTAATCTGAACCGGAATTGAGGTGCTAACCTTCTTAGGATCGATACTGTTTATCTTCAGTATACAGCTCCTAAGCCTATGCCTACAGAGTTTGAACAAAGTGTGGCCAGATTGCAATCGTGGCATTGATTATGTCTGTGATGAGAATTTAACTAGGTACATATTCAGCTCACTGCTATGTAAAAAATTCATTCATCATTCATCATTCGCCCGGTTTGTCCCTCACATTATGCTTCGGACGAATGAACGGCTCACTCGGAGCGGCAGGTGGTCTGAGTAGGAATAACTTGTCAGTGTTTGCTCAGTACGAAGTAAGCCGAAATAAACTTACCAGAAAACCTCACTCCAACGGAGTGCGGCAGGGGTTCTCCTTAGCCAGGATACAGCCCATAATACCATTCACAATGGTAGAAAAGTTGACCCAGTCCATAACATGCGCGGTCTGGTCCTGCTCCCGAATCTCGCGGTTCACAAAGGTCGTTATGACCGGGTACTCCTCATCGAGCTCATCCAACATGACCTTGGTTGCCACATAGTACCCAATGCCAATATCCAGACGGCGGCAGTGCTGAACCTGGTCACTCCAGGCCTCGACGTACTCAGCGGCGCTGTCGTAGTCATCGCGGCGCATCTTCCACATGTTGAAGACTTCGACCGACATGCGGTCATCCTCGTTAGGCTCAAGGCGGAGGATGTGCTCCATGGTCACATCGGCGAACTCAAGAGGGGGGCTGATTTGCTGCAGGCGGAACCGAATCTTCTCTCCAACGTTGGTGAAGAGCCATCTGTCGACGCGCTGGGACCATCTCTTCCAGTTTTGGTAGCTGGGGTGGGACTCATCGGGGCGGTCAAGGTACTTGGAGATGACATCCTTGATGCCGAGGGTGTGGAGGGTGCCCTTAACGCGGCAGAGCCACAAATCCTGGTCCCATTTCTTGGACAGCTTGCGGATGTTCGGGATGAGAGTCCAGACGTAGGGGGGAAGATTGTCAGCCTGGGTGGGAGGAGGGAGAGTGGGGAGAAGGGGGACATCAAATCCTTCCACGGTTCCAACAACGGGTCCTTTGGCGGGGTCGGGTTGGTGAATCAATGCGGAGTGGTCAATCATGGCAGATTGGACCAAGGCAGATTGGACCGGGCCAGAACGATCGTTCAAAGCAGAAGGCTCAGCCACGGTTCGAGAGACCTGAGGCAGGGCGAGGGAGTTCTCAGCCAAAGCGAAAGGTTCCATCTGATCCTTGGCCGACATCTTGGGATGTCAGACCAGGTGGGAGATGTCCGAAACGGGAGTGAAACGGGAGTGAAACGAGAGTGAAAGATGATGTAAAGGAAAGAAATGAGCCACCGAGGTGGAGGGTGTTTAACATGTTTAACGTGTTGCTCATCGCAAGCTCCCACGCGATGGACGGCACGTGGCCTAAATGAAAACCGCGTTCCTTCTTCGTTGACACTTCGTTCGACAGCTTTATAGATGCCACTTTCATACCGACCCACAATTTAAGCTTTTCCCAAGACGCAAACTGGGTATCTCAACAACCATGTTTGTATTTTCTTTTATTATTTGCCAATAGCTGTTGACAAGGCTTTTCAACACTATATATCAATTTTGACGAAATCTAAAACCTACATTATTACGATATCGAAAATTACGTTACTATGAGCCAGAATCATGTATATCACATCACATATATTATTTTATTCTCTATGTTACAGAAATTCTCTAAATTCCCTAAAGAGCCTAGATATCACCTAAAAAGCATTGTGCTAGAAGGCGAAGTCCCTATAGACCACCGTTGTTGAGATACCAGGTTGTAATTTATCCCATTTAGTATGGTGTTTGGGGCGCACCACTCGCTTACAGAATACGTTAAGAGGTTTCTGGCACTCCACCACAATATTCCACAATATTCACTATATCTCTATGAGCATCGTAAGTGATCTTAAGGACCCAAGTAGATCATTCATAAGCACCCTAAGTCATCTCCTTGGTGTACGTAGTTATCTCCCCTAGAGTGTGTAGAAGACAGTTCCTATGAGTCGGCAAGTCTTTATCAAAAAAGAGTCCATTCATCGAAGACACAAAGCTAAAGAGAAGAAGAGAGAGAGAACAGGAGAGACGCTGTGAGTCGGCAAGTCTTCATCAAAAAGAGACTAAGCTAGAGAGAAGAAGATAAAGAGAACAGGAGAGACGCTAAGATTTGGGTCATGTCATGTTGTAGCCTAGGAGACTCGCTTATCAGTCAAAGCAACTAACTTTAAGCAGGACAAAAGAACTTTAAGTAGGGCAAGGAACTTTAAGTAGGGCAAGGAACTTTATCCCTAACTCTTAAGAATTCAAGCGGCGGCACGTAAGGAAGTCAACAAAGTTTCTTACTGAAACTGCGTGTATACGTATATACCCTAGCTTTCCATGCTACCACCTTAAATCTGTAAATATCACCACTTTCAAAATATGTTCTTACCACAAAAAGTCAGACATTTTGTTATAAATGTTATATTGAAAAAGTGTAAGTTAATGGCCAAAGTATTATATTTAATTATCTTAAAATCGAAAAAATTGCTGATTGAAATAGAGACGTTGGAATTGGTGGTTCAATTTTGAAGCCGTGTAGTTTGCTATAGAAAAATTCGTAAAAAGAATTTAGTATATAAAACCTTGATTCGTTATAGTCATTATAAAGAAAACGGATTTTTAAAAAAATATGGTTCTATATAAATGTATTGAGATAGAAGGGGTCGAACCTGGCCTTTAAGCCGGTGAAAGTGGTAGTGTATGGAAACTAATGCTAAGGTATGCATGTGCCCACCCTAATGCAGCGAAGGTGCAGTTTAGTCCCATGTCAATGAGTTGATACAAGAGGCTGATCCGAACTGCTTGTGGTAGTAACCGCCAGTCTGTTGCTTGCCGTAATGGATTGCAACTTACTGTTTCAAACTAGGATGCTATAATCTTGCCTATGACTAGTGACCACATTTTATCGTACTCGAAGTACTTCTTAGGAGAGACAGCCGGGCGCTCCAGATAAGTGGACTTTATGGATCTGGTAGAGGGATAAGAATTTAATTAATTTTAAGGAGCGAAGTTAATTATTTGCTTTAATGTGGAAACTATAAGTGGTGGTGTCCTGCACGATGTCTATACTCTCGCTCGAACCAATCTATTGAGAGAAATCAATCCCACCCTCGACATTAAGCTTAATTCCAAGAAATGCCAAGTCTTCACTAGAGAAAGTGGCATGCCACGATCTCAACACCTAAATAACAGCCGTGATCCCTGATTCACACCTTAATTGTAGACAAAACCAATCAATGCACAGATACACACAGTCTCCTAAATACATACTAAAAACATACCTAATTATCCACATGTAACGCCCCTATCAACCCCGCATTTCAAAACTGTAAAGTTCTTGGTCGGTATGGGGCCGGCCACTCCTAGAGCCTGCATATTCCGCACTCTGATACGCCACATGTCCCGTATCGGCTATCGCTCCGGCCAACCCGGTGTTTTCTCCATGTTTGCCGAAAACCGATAAAGATAAGAGGTGATAATTTATACTTAAAAGAAGTACAAATTGATCTCGTGTGGTGCACAACCCCCTCATTTCACTCCCTTTTTCTTTTCATTCTTCCATATCACTGTCGCATCCCTGTTTTGGATTGTACACATTCGGGTTGTGGTTATTATGGGCGGTCTCGATATAACTTCTGCGTCGCAGACGCCTGTCTCCGAGGAGCGGGATGGGGATGCAGGCGAGGTTCTTAAAGTGCAGAATGAGGATGAGTTGCGGTTGGCACAGATGGGTGGGTGTCTATTGTTCAAGCCATGAGCCCGAATAACGGTTAACGATGGCGCAGGCCATAAACAAGAGCTGAAGCGCCATTTCTCTGTTTGGAGCTTGATCGGATTAGCGGCGAATTGTACTATTTCTTGGACAGGTTAGTTCGGTCGTGTTTTGTCGCCGAAAGCACTTCATATCTAACCCATAACAGGTCTTGGTCTAGGATTGATCACGGAAATCAACGCCGGTGGTCCCGGCGCACGTAAGAGAGACCCGATATCAAACCTCAATCAGACCCCTGACTGATACTTCACCAGTAATCTATGGTTTTATCCTGGTTTTTATCCTACAATCATTCGTCGGCGCATCACTCGCCGAATTCGTCTCAGCCTACCCAGTCGAAGGAGGAATGTACCATTGGATCGCGGCAATTGCCCCAAAGAGATACAACAGTTTGCTCAGCTTTGCGACCGGGTGGTGTACCGTTTTTGGCTGTGGGTAGACAGATCACAAAGGAATATACCCTAGGAACTAATGGGGAATAGGGATCTTCACGACCGCCTCGACAAACTTGATTTATGCTACAACAGTCATGGCATTGATCGCGCTATACCATGACGGCTTGGTTGTTCAACCGTGGATGACCTTTGTGGCATATCAAATTCTCAATATTTTGACTGCTGGTGTGGTTATGTTTGGGAATCGCTTTATTCCGATGATCAACAAATTTTCATGTAGGTTGTGCTTTCTTCCTGGTGCTCTCCTGTGGCTGACGATCTATGGTAGTGGTATACTTGCAAGTGGCTTGGTTTGTCACGATGGTCGTGGTGGCTGCTTCGGCACCCGTGCACAATGACAGCAAATTCGTGTTCCGGACTTGGATTAACAACACTGGCTGGGAGAATAACGTTATTTGCTTCATTACCGGACTAGTGAATCCAATGTATTCACTTGGTGGCCTGGATGGGATTTCGGTGGGTTACTCTCATTCGGAGGCAAAGGAAGACGTTAATCATTTCATAGCATATCACTGAGGAAATGCCCAATGTAAGTTTGGCTTGGACTGCTGGTCAACCTCTTTATTGACATCATTTTACAGCCTGGCAGAAACGCCCCATTGGGTCTAGGTTCGTTTGGTATGGAACTCTTGTATAGATCATCTCGCTGACAGCATGTATAGCAATCACACTCTCAATCGCCTTTGTAACAGGACTATCTTATCTCCTTAGCCTGATGTTCTCAGTCCAAAACTATGGCACCTTAGCTGATACACATACCGGATTACCTCTCGCCGAGCTCTTTTGGCAAGCAACCTCGACAAGAGGGGGAGCATTTGGGTTGGTGTTCATGGTATGGGTTGCTCTGGGTCCCTGTGTAATCGGATCACAATTGAGTGAGTTTGATGCCAGTGAACTGAAACAAAGCTCCGTTCTCTAACAACAACAGGCACGGGCCGGGTCTTTTGGGCCTTTGCACGCGATGAAGGCCTGCCTTTGTCTAAAGTCTGGGCAAAAGTTAACCCACGACTTGGCTCCCCTTTCAATGCACAGCTGTGTGTTGCAGTGATAGTTGCCCTGCTAGGCTGCATCTATCTGGGATCTAGCACAGCTTTTAATGCTATGATGAGCTCCGCTGTGTATGTCCCCTCTATACTACGAAGTGTTCAACTCAGAGAGATCTAACAGCGCTGACAAAACTTCAGAACCATAAACAACTTTGCGTTCCTTGTGCCAATTCTCACGAACGTTCTCCTTCGCCGTCGCACTATGCATCGTGGTCCATTCTTTATGGGACAAACCATAGGAATGACAGTGAATATCATTTCTGTTGCGTGGCTGATCTTTGCGATTGTATTCTTCTCGTTCCCATATCAGATGCCTACTACTGGTATGTAATGATCTATGCATGGAAACCCCTGATCCTGTTGCAGTATGCTAATATACTTCCTCCGCAGCGTCAAATATGAACTACACTTGTGTTGTTGTAGGTGGATTTTTGATTATTGAGCTTGCTTGGTGGTTCATTGCGGGCAAGAAATATTCACTCACTGTACAGCGAGCCAAAGAGGAAGGTGTCGTCAGTGAAGCATCCGTACAGGGGAAAGACCTTGCTTGAGTTTATCTTACTAGTTTGCTTGCAGTCTCAGCTATCTATGCACGTTTTTGGCTATTTCCCTCAGTTCACTTACAATAGTGCCGATCCTGGTCTTATGCGTTGCTACTATTGCTTGACACGTGGGGTCGTATTGCCCTGCCTCCCTTTTAGGAAATTGGTCGACACCAAATTCTTTACAGGCATTCTTACCGAAATACCTTCAATCTAAGGTGAGTCGCAAGGCAAGCAGATATCTGAATAGGTAATATTGTAGAAGAAGAGATACAGGTCGCCTAGGAGCTTAGGTATAGTAACTGGCTTTAAGCAGCACCCGCACGGAGGATACTTATTCCCGTTCCCCCGATACGAATGC